AGCATGTTTGTGGTCTGACCTTAAAGTAACATCACAGAAAGAAGATTGGTTATGTACTGAAAGAATTTTCTGTTCAGATATGTATATGTATTTCCCCTCGTCTCTCGAATCTTAAAGTATTGTTAATATAAGTTTTAACATGTGTTTCGTTTAACATCCATCTTCCCGTGGCAAAGGGCGCTAACTGACTATAAAAGTTGAACTAGACTGTTATTCATTTTGTGAAGGAGATTGTAGTGTAGAAATGGAACCCATCAACCTGTGCTTACGGTGGGTGACAACCAAGTGGGTTAGGTGGTCTCATTCACTGACTTGGTTGATTCATTGTCATTGCATCCTGACCACTTTGGAAATTGCTCATAATACCAGTCACTAGTTTGTCTGGTCAAGACATGGATGATTTCCTAGAGATGGAAGTATGCTTACTGTGGCACTAAACATCACTTACTTGCTCATGTCAGAGTCAGAGTTTTTTACATGGGATCGGAGTAATGCCCCTTGGCCATGCCAGGATTCACTGGTTGTTGGTTCAGTTCCAAGATTACATCAGCGTCACAGGGACTGTGATTCTCATAAGAACTTTGTATCACAGGGTTCTTGCTTGCCGTAAAAGGCGACTATGCTTGTGGTAAGAGGCGACTAAGGGGATCAGGTGGTCAGGCTCTCTGACTTGGTTGATGCATATCATCGATCCCATTTGCATGGATCGATGCTCATGATATCAATCACTGGACTGTCTGGTCCAGATTCGATTATTTACAGACCGCTGTCATATAGCTGAAATATTTCTAAGTGTGGCATTAAAAAGAAAACAAACAAACAAACAAAACAAACAAACAAACATTTTCAAAGTGGCGGTAAACCTTGAGCTTCAGGAGTGCAGTATACATGTACCACACAAACATGTATTAATTTGTTTGTTGTTTAACGCTGAAGTATTTCAGTTATATGGCAGTGGTCTGTACAATTAAGTCTGGACCAGACTGTCAGTGATTGGTATCATGCACGTCAATTCACATAATTGGGATATAATGACATGCATTCAACCAAGTCACCGAACCTGACCCCCAATCTATTCAGTCACATCTTATGACAACCTGGTACCTGGTACCTATATCATTGTATATCCTTACCCGGGGTTCCCCCTGGTTAAACATGTATTAGAAACAGACTATGGTAATTAAGTATTTGGCTCAATGTAGACTCGAAGCAGTCCCTGTTTGTTTGCTGAGTGAGACATTGCACCATGCACAGAGAAAACTAACAATCAATATTTCATTTTAAATATCATTGTGGCACTGGGTTGCTCTGATTTCCATTGATAACATAATGTGTATTTAGTGTACGTAAAGGATAAAACATGCTCCCGTGCATTTGGTTGAAAATGTAAAGATGAGAGAATGGAACAAACTCATGGGCAGGGAGTTTGTCCCGACCCTAATTCTTTATATTTTTAACCAACCCAAAGAAAATCTGAAACAACATTAATGAGCAACGTTGTTTCCAACCCACTTTCCATGAACCTTAGGAAACGACCGTTCAATATCTATTGCTGGTCACATTAATCTAATGGCTAATGGCTCTGCTACTGAAGCTGTTTGCAGTACTTTTTACACTGAAGACACTGCTAATTACTGTCTACAAATTGAAAAAGTTGAAAGAATGATGTTGGATGATAAATAAAATCTCAGCCTCGTGTCTTTTGATATCAAATATATCAACACTCATTGATAAAAGTGGCAAAAATCCTCGGCAAGCCTCGGAATTTTTCAAAAAATTTCAACTCGTGTTGATATATTTGATATCAAAAGACACTCGGGTGAGATTCTCTATACCTTTCCATGATACACAAACCTTTTTTTATATGTGAAGTGTACATTTTTATAGAATGACATATCTGATTATACCTATCGAAAGTTCAATAGCATATTTGTCCTCTTTTCATTCTTTCCTGGTCAGTAGATTGGTAAACCATCAAAATAAAGTGTAGCTTAAAAGAAAAATGTTGAGTTTTGATAAGAGTTCACACTTTAATCTGTAGAAATCAGAATGCTCAGAAAGTGTTTCTTATGAGATTAGCTCTCCCATGGTACTGGTTCCATATTCCACCTAATGACCACCATACCCGCTTGATAGTGCTTCACATCACACTGCTTCCTCGTCCCTGGCACACAATGCTCACAAAGATATTGTTGGTAAACTTTTTCACCCTTTATGGCTTGTTAGTGGATATGAAACTATAAATTGCTTACATAACACAGCAATAAGTGCAGTTTATCAGAGGACACACTTGTTGATTCAGTCCTTGCCAACCCTTTTTTGATTTTGTCAATGAAATGATTGAAATGAGTCATTTATTTTCTCAACATACAAACAGCTTAATTCTTCATGACCAATTATTTCAATACTAATGATTGATGGTACAGCTATCTTAGAATTCTTTCATAACTTACGCTGGGAGTTACGATAAAACTCTGATAGCACAAAAGTATCATACATATATATCTGTTCATACTTTTGTGGGACACAGATGGCTCATTTATATAAGGTGCCGTAATTTCATTTTAAATACACACATTCTGATAATAGTCTGATTCTGTTTCTAAATCTCGCAGGGGACAAATAATTTTGTCTCTTGTGCAGTAAATGATCAGGGCACCACAACCTGACCAGACGTCAAATAAATGTTAATGTGTCATGGTCCAGACACAGGATATAGTTAAGTATGTAGTCAATCTGATTTTGTTGATCAGGGTTAGAAATAAGTCAACAGTAACATATGCTTGTCGTAAGGGTCGACTAGATCAGGTGGTAAGATTCAGTGACTTTGTTGATTGCATGTCACAGATCCATGTTCATACTATCAGTCACTGGTTTCTCTGATCCAGAATCTTACATGGGGGCAGAGCCGGCCCAGTCGTCTAAGGCGCCACGATTCGCTGTGCGGAGTTGCGTCCCTTGGGCACCCCAGAAACCTATGATTGTGGGTTCGAATCCTGGTTCGCCCCGATTATGTTTCTAGGTTTGTCAGCACCATACCCGTGCTCGTGGGTTTCACCAAAGTGGTAAACCTCTGAGACCTGCATCACTTCAGGCTTTCCTCTCACATTAAGCTGACACACTGTGATATAAATGGAATAATGTTAAAAGCGGCGTTAAACCCCACTCACTCACCCAGAATCTTACAAACCATCGTCATATACAGCTGGAAGAAAGCTGATAAACAAATATTTTGTTGATAGAAAGAATTGTTCTTTCAGTTTGAAAATAAATGAAATTTGTAGAGAATGAATTCTTTCCAAGCATCTCATTATCATTTTCTTCTATGTGCAAGTTCTTCACAAAACAATGACAAGGATGTCAATGTGACCCCGCATTCTGGGCCAGTCTCCAAGAGACCTACTGTCCCTTTAAATGTAAACCTTTTAAGCAGCTAGTAGTCATAGACTACTCACTTGTATGACTGTTTATAATAAAGTATTATAAATGGAAAAATGGCTCTTGATGTTTTTTTGTGTTTCATCAATGATCATTTTCAATGTATTATTGTTAAAATGGGCAACTTGAGAAAAATGAGTCTAGTTTCACAAAATCTTCAAGTCAAATATTACACTGTACTTTGATTCATTTACACTAAAAAGTATTTGGGTTTTTTTACACATACATTTTAAATCATCCTCCACAACCAGTGTTACATGGATCTACATGTCCCATTCCACTGTGAAATAATTGTGCCACTGTTCTATTCACTACCATCATTACGTAATGTGAACATCAGCAATGAATATCTGTACAATGCTCTATCCTAGAACGCGGAGTCAGGATCTTGGACCCCGATGACAGCGGTATATTGAGGGATCACTATCATTTTTCGGGGCAGTACTGTACTGTCACAACTCACTGCCTAGAACTGATACCACTATTCTCTGCTATTTGGGGCAGTGTTTGGAGTGATGGTCTCTATTTTGCCAGAGTCAGCAATATTATTGCAGGGTCATGATAACCTCATGTTATCAAGAGTGGACATTACAAACAAGTGCAGGAATGCACAGTAAAGTAGATATAGTTGATGGAAAAAACGTTTTAAAAAGTGACATAATTTATGTTACTTCCTGTGTTGTAGGAACAATATTATGCATAATATAACTTGTCTAGATGATAGCCATCAAACTACACACAGTGCGTTTGATCTCAGAGACTGGAAGAGGTCATCACCTTTTCAAACATAAATTGGTTAAATAATTTTAGCAGTCTGAGATATATTTCTTCTTCCGAGGTTTTACAAATGCATGAAAACGGTTTTTTTAAACATTATTTCCATTACATGTATTACATTTTTATTTTTTATTTTTTTGGTTACTTTTTTTTTTTACATGTTTCCATGTTAAATAATAAAATGGAGACTCGATCCTGCAGTCTTGATGTGGGAATCTTAAAGTTTCCTTGATTTCAGGTGTTGGTGTCAAATTAAATAGACGACCACAAAGGATTTTCAGTTTTGTTTCCACCCTGCAGTGGTCAGTGGTCACCGGTGTGAACACCCAGCAGGGATGGTGAGGATGTCCAGGTGTGATGACAATCATCCACATCACAGCTGAGGGTGGGTCTGTCCTAGTGGTCACTCATCACTACTGTAACAATACAAGGCAGCCATTGTGAGCACCTGATCCTCAGTATTGTGGACTCTCATGATAAGGAGGAGCTATACTGATCACAAACATATTCCCCAAATTATGCTGGCTGTTTGTTTTCGGATATTTCATACATACAGTCAGGAAGTAGCTGCTGATCAGTATGCATTTGTACCTCCAATCCTATTTATCAGCACCTCCTATTATTTTAACCTGGTAAAATGTTCCACACAGTTTAACTACAACCATAGATAGATAGATAGACAGACAGACAGACAGACAGACAGATAGGCAGGCAGGCAGACAGACAGACAGACTGTGGACCCTATTGTTGTTATTATTATTTTTATAATATTCATTGCATAGTTTAAGGAGAGAGCAAAAAATTAAAACATTCTCAAGGTCAGATGTGTTCATAAACATAAATGCGAATTGTCTTTCGATTCTTTCACTCCTAAACCCATTATTAAAATATTTTGTGATTGTGAAATGTGCTTAGGGATGACGTGGTCTACATGGGGAGGAGTCGCTTACAATACATTCCTTTTGTACAAGCGTTGTCCTGAGCTTCGGAGCTTAAACCGGAAGCGAGCTATAAATAACATTAGCGGGAAAACCCAGAACATTTTCCAACTTTCGTTACTGATTTTGTCTTTACGAAAACCCAACATTTAGAAACTAACTTTTCCGACCTCGATACACGTGGCATCTGACATATTTTGATTTTGCAAACATGGTAAGTGATTAATTATGTACATTTTGCCTCAAAAATGTCTTTGCACTTGGGACTGTCGGCGTATCTTGAAATGATGTTTAATGTATATCCTCTTACGTCCCTTATGCCCCCTTTCAAGTTTGAATGAACTAGAAGCGTTTAAATCTACTCTTCTGGTGGCATCACAGAGGAAAATATCCAACTTGATGATAAATTCAGACGTATAGATTAAAACATTTACCACAACAAACTGAATCATTTTCGAAAAACGACAGAACATGGAGTACTAGTCAAAACGGATATGACACAAAATGTCCAAACTCATATAGTTAAATCTCGTTTGTAGAAAGGGATCATGGTTTAGGGTAGCGTTAATATTGTAAACCAACATGTTTTGTCACATTGCTAATCCCAGTACTGACAATAGGTTGTTGTTTTTTAATACCCACAGTAGGGCTGGGACGAGTCGAAATTTACTACTTGGGTACCCGACCCCCTATTAACCGACCCTACCCGGGTACCCTCTGCAAATCTGAAGAGTAGGGAACAAAATGTCTGATTGGTAATTGTTTTACTTACTGCTGCCCTGGCTAAAACTATTTAGATACATGTATCAAATAATCAGATCATGAATTCACCGAAGTTGACTGAAGCTTTATCTAAAATTTTCTCAAACATTTACAAGTCAAAAGGAATGTGTGCATCATCAGAAAGATATGTGAACATTAGCGACACTGAGCTATAGTAAGTTTTTGTCATTAAACAATATATCACGTGACTAACCAATGGTCTGGGTAGTCCTATGGATACCCAGGTCCTACTCAGGACCCACTCGACCCGAGTACCCGAGTCACCCGTCCCAGGTTTCATGGAATCCCCTAATTGAAACCTCTGTCTACATGAAAAACACAGTATGTGTAGCGTATATTTGATATTTTTGACATTGTCAGAATTTACTTAATAAGTACACAACACAGTGGTAGACAGTAATATGTACTGGTGGTGTATTCCCCATAGGTCCCCACAGCGAAGGTTGTCATTAATTTGGTTAGACAACAGATGGGGATTCTCAGTTTTAAGTAATTACTTTATTGGAATCTCTCAGCTTATCAAACCACCTAACAACCAGCATAACAGTACAGTCCACAAATAAGCATTTGTTAATTATTTTGGATATAAAAGATAAAACTACATCACATCACACATATTGTCTCTGTATATCGTTCTGCATTCCGTCTGGCGCATGAACAGAGTGGATTGTTCCTAATTCATGTGTTAATACTGTAATGAATGAGGACATTATAATAAGTATTTATGAAACCCCTTGTCTTTTATTAATTATATCATCATAATAATTGTCTAATACACATTATGGAAGCTCATATTATTTTTTTATCATGAAAGACGTGTGTTGTGACTTGAAGTTCTGTAGATATTGTCCCCTGTACAGAATGTTTGAAAAATATCCAAAGGAAATTCATCCAAATCATCCAAAATTGGCTCCCACAGGAGATATCTCTTGGATTGGGTCAAGCGATATCTAAATTGTAGATATCGCTGCAGTGAAATGGCATCACAATGCTTTGCAGTCCCTTGTGACGGCATTGTTACCATGACATCACAATCAAATGACATCACAAATGGCTCTGCAACTGCTGTTAGCAGTACTTTTTACACTTAAAGCCCCCATTACACTTTCAAATAAACTTTGATCAAAAACTTAGTCAAAGTCCATTTTGACCAAGGTTTTGATAGTGTAACATGCCGTCAAATATGCCTATGCCTACCCCGACGCCGCCTTCTCAACATGGCAATACACAAAATACATATCACAACAGCAAAACATTCTTCATCAGTAACATCCACCTTGGCAAGATAATTCCTGCCAAAACTTTGACGGCCTATCAAAAACTTTGATGAGTGTAAACAGCCCAACCCGGACCAAGAAAACTTGGTCAAAGTTTTCTTTGACCAAGTTTTTTTTATCAAAGTTTTTGATAGTGTAACGGGGGCTTAAGACACTGCTTATTACTGTCTACAAACTGAAAAAGTTGGAAGAATGATTTTGGATGATAAATAAAATCTCATCCGAGTGTCTTTTGATATCAAGTATGTCAGCACTCATTGATTCTCTATTTAACACCCGATGTTATGCATCATCACTGAAGATCTATATATTGACTACTAGCTGTACTTCAGATAAACCCATGAAGATCCGGGGTGGAATAGGTCTTCAGCAACTCGTTCTTGCCGTAAAAGGTGATTATGCTTGTCGTAAGAGGCGACTAACTGGATCGGTAGTCAGGCTCGCTGACTTGGTTAAAGCATGTCATCAATCCCAATTGCGTGGATCGATGCTCATGATGTCAATCACCGGTTTGTCTGGTCAAGACTTGATTATTTACAGACTGCCGTCATGTAGCTGGAATATTGCTGAGTGCGGCGTAAAACAACAAACCAAACCAAAAAACTTCAGACAGTCTATAACCCAGGCCGGCTTATCTGCTCGCAAAGACACTGAATAAATCTTTATCATTTCCTCAGATTCAGATTTTACTACTGTTCAAATCTACTTCTGCTGAGAGAGCATGAGATGAAGTAGGATGAAATTGTATGATATGTGGCAAGATAATGAGAGTCCTGTTCAAGTCAGAAATTTATTATTTTTAGCTCAGTTAAACTTTAAATTTAATACCCCAAGGGATTAAAAACTTTTTGAGGATATATAGGGCAGGGATGTTGCTCAGATTTATTTATCCCCTGCAATGAAAAAAACATATAGTAGTTCATCACCAAACTTGGTACATAGATAGGTCTGGTGGTGAATTTGGTGCCTTTTGAAAGTTCGGGAATTTTCGAGTCTCCATCACATCAACTTGAATCAAATTTTGTTTTTTTGAATTAGTTAAAATTTGATGTCTATGATTAGAACTTTCCAACACAAAGAGTTATTACTTGGAGATTTCAAATTGAGAAAGCATCTACATTAAGAAGAGTGACTACACAACAAGGTCTACATCCAACTGATGTTGTATTATACTTGTACCCCAAGAAGTACACACATTGTCTTGTTGTGATCACTCTGGAGCCTGTTTCCTGTGTAGAGTCAGACAATGTCATCTGGAGGCTTACACCAAACACACACCAGTTTCTGTGTTGTTGATATAGGCTCATCTGGCTCTAGCCCCACCCTAACTGTAGAGTAAAGTTGGACATCTCTGTATAAAGCTACACCTAACACACACCAGTTTCTGTGTTGTTGATATAGGCTCATCTGGCTCTAGCCCCACCCTAACTGTAGAGTAAAGTTGGACATCTCTGTATAAAGCCCACCGAAAATTTGCAAAAACACCTCATGATCAGTGAGCCATGAGCATTGATTTAGTATAATGCCTAGTTAACTGAGTGCGCTAGTGAGTTGGATTTTATGCCGCTTTTAGCAGTATTCCAGCAATATCATGTTGAGGGACACTAGGAATGTGCCAATGTGGGAATCGAACCTGGGCCTTTGGCGTGATGAGCCAACGCTTGAACCAATTCATCATGATCAATATTTATCAGTGTATAGACCGTGTCAATATAAAATTGTGTTGAAAAACAAAGTGGATTTGTTATTTACTTTTAGTGGTACTTACAGTAGCTTTTATAATATTTCACTAGCCCTTTCAATATCAAAACATATTGGCCTTATATAAAATATGTATGTATGGCTTCAACATGTACCTCAAAATGTTGTTTTTGTGATGGAAAGAATTGATTTATTCCTGTTTATATGCTTGATGAAAATAGTCTTCGAACATAGCCAAGAAAAAAAAAATGGTTTTGTTATTACATAGTTTCTGTATGTTCTTCATGATCTTACTCCGAAAATCATGTATTGTGTCATGAATGTAGTCATACTGAAAGTAGTTCTGGCAGAACTAGCTGGTTGAGTAAAGTTGGACATCTCTGTATAAAGCCCACCCCAAATTTGCAAAAACACCTCATGATCAGTGAGCCAAAAGCAGTGATTTAGTATAATGCATAGTTAACTGACTGTGTGAGTGAGTTGGATTTTATGCCGCTTTTAGCAGTATTCCAGCAATATCATGTTGAGGGACACTAAAAATGTGCCAATGTGGGAATCGAACCTGGGCCTTTGGCGTGATGAGCCAACGCTTTAACCAATTCATCATGATCAATATTTATCAGTGTATAGACCGTGTCAATATAAAATTGTGTTGAAAAACAAAGTGGATTTGTTATTTACTTTTAGTGGTACTTACAGTAGCTTTTATAATATTTCTATAGCCCTTTGAATATCAAAACATATTGGCCTTTTTAAAGTAAAATATGTATGTATGGCTTCAACATGTACCTCAAAATGTTGTTTTTGTGATGGAAAGAATTGATTTATTCCTGTTTATATGCTTGATGAAAATAGTCTTCGAACATAGACAAGAAAAAACAAATGTTCTAGTTATTACATAGTTTCTGTATGTTCTTCATGATCTTACTCAGAAAATCATGTATTGTGTCATGAATGTAGTCATACTGAAAGTAGTTCCGGCAGAAGGTGTTATTTTGCTCAAGTGAAATACTGATTTTAATATTTCAGATTAATATGGTATTTCATCAGTAGATAATAACCTTTTTACAAGAAGTAAAATGTGAATGTTCCTTTTTGTGTTGTGTTTTAGAAGTAATAGTAATTATGACAATGGTACGTGATGAATGGTAAGCCGAACACTGCCATGTTGTATCGTTATGTAATTGGTAATGATGTCCCATGTTTAATGTTGCAGAGTCATCGAGGCGGTGCCCGAGGGGGTCCTCCTGGACCGAACCCAATTGGTACGTGGAGTTCTTATAGGCCTTTGGTAGTTCACCAGGATTGTATATCCAAGTACAATACATGGGCGGATACAGCTTTTTTGAAAAGGGCGGGTGCACAATTAAGATCTATTTATTGTCTTTGGTGGTAATTTATACAGAAATAAAGAGTTTTTTCGAAATAAAAAGGGGGGGGGGGGTGCGCACCCCCGCACCCCACCTCTGTATCCGCCCATGCAATATTTCAGTGCACAGAAAATAAATTAGTAGCGGCTAGTAAGGACTCTAAACCATTCTGGAGAATACCTCAACAGAGTAATATGTCTAGTGGCATTTCACAGTCAGTATCTAGTCAGCAGTGGGTGGATCACTTCATGTCACTCCTGTCTGTTGAACAAGTCAGAGTATTTGCTTCTGATTTTGATGATGATTTGCTTTCTTCTACACAAAGACCCACTGGAGAACTTGATCAACCAATCACTGATCAAGACGTTTTATCTACCGGTAATATACTGAATGCTGCAAATAACAAATCACCAGGACCAGATGGCGTGGCTGTTGAATTTTTTAAACTTCTAGGTACCTGACTGTACCATATCTTGCTCGCCTTTTTAATCACATTCTTGATCGTGGTAGATTCCCCAGTTGCTGGGTTAAGGGTATTATATGCCCTCTCTTCAAGTCTGACTGTGAAAATGACCCCAGAAACTATAGAGGTATTTCTCTCAATCAATGGAAAGTATTTACGTCTATTTTGAACAACCATCTGCTGAATTGGCATGAGAATCATCATATTATTAATGAACAACAACCAGGTTTTAAGGCTCATTGCTCCACTGTTGAAAATATTGTTTCATTACAGGATATAGTTCAAATATACATTGGTAAGAAGAGAGGCAGATTTTACTGCCTCTTCATTGACTTTTCCAAGGCATTTGCCAGTTCACATGCACAACATTTACTCACGTAAGTAATTTTGCACATGTGTAACTATACATACGTGTGTATAAGTAAATTTACTCTGCACTCACATGGAAATTAACTAATACCCTGTCCACATGCGCCTCGGTACATATGTGTGTATATATGCTGTGTGTGTAGAAATACATACATGGGTATACTTGTCATGTGACAGCGTTTACTCGTGTGTATAATAACACCAAGAGCAAATTTGCATCATGTCTGGAGCAGGTGCAAATGTAAATGTAAATTTGCACTGTGTGTATATGTTGCAATGTGAACGTTTATGTCAACAATAAGAGGATGATCTAATTAATATCTGTTTTTTTGCTAACACCAAACAAATTGTCAACAGTTGCCAACTCTTTTGAGCGGACGGTGTTTTCTTTTGGTTTCATTGAGTCAAAACTTTGTGTACAAATTAAATCAAACAAATGTTGCTTCACGCGAACATTTTTAATGAAGTAACTCTCTTCTCATTCAACTTTGATTGGAAAACAACCTGTTTTGTTTTGAAAGTCATGAACAGACTGACGAAGATGTGTTTCTTACACAGTTTACATACTATATTTATGTATGTGTGTATAGAGGCACATGTGAAACAGGTATAAGTGGTTTACCTGTAACATTGGCACCTGTTAAGGATGTGTTTAAGTCCACACATATTTATTATATTTATATACAAGTTAATTACCCTTATGGCCAGAGAGGGTGGCCAAGATATTACTGTTATCTCGTCTATGTGTAGGATAAAACATGTCAGGGGGTTTAAAATCTCATAAACCGATAACGTATAAACCGAAAAAAGAAACTTTAAACAACATTAAGCAACATTAGTATGTTTGAAACATACCTTCCATGAACCTTAGGAAACGGGCGTAAAATAGCAGTTGCTGGCGGACAGTGCTTGAAAAAGAAATTCTTTAAAACATTGTGATTTATTGGCGCCTCTGTAGCTTGGCGGTAGACTCAGTGGGCTCCAGATTCAAAGGTTGCGTGTTCGATTCGCGGGAATATAAATACATCATTTGTCATTTGATTTTACATGTCATTATATTACATGTTCAAATGCAAAATAAATTTCCAGTGAGAAACATTCATATATTTCAATATAAACGGAAGTTATATGTATAAAAATTCTTGGGATATTATTTAAAATCCTGGCGATATAACATTATAATGCAAATATCCCTGTTTATAAGATTTAACCTGCCTGGAGTACAATAGGATGATATCACTGGAGGTTTATAATTAGGATTTGTGTTCTCTCATGTTTGCTGATGATATCTCAGAAATATCTGACACCTGTACACAAGTGCAGAGCAAGATAACTTACTAGAAAGTTTTTGTAAACATACTGGCGTGAAAGTAGAAAAGTGGTCCCTTAAGGTCGTATGAAAAGTGGTTTTATGATGGTACATCTATAGAAACAGTATCTTTCTATAAATACCTGGGACCTTTTTTCACAATAGGCAACATATTTTGTTTATAATTATGAAAGGAGACTTTGTACCATCAGTTGTCCAGATCCATTTGAGATATTTCAGTGTATGATAAAACCTGTCCAATGGTTCTGAAATATGGGGCACGACTTATTGTAATACTATTTTAATCTGATCATATTAAGTTATTGTAAATCTAGTTTAAAGTTTGGTGGATTAATATGTAATAATATGGTTTAAGGGAATGTGGAAGAATGCCTTTGCAATTTGTATATTGACAAAGTCAATTAAGTATTGGTGCAGACTATCACATTCAGCAAACAATGGGTATCAAAACAATGTTATATTATGTTAAAACTTTGGATGGTGTAGGCCGTAATACCAGGGCAACACCAATAAGAGATACTCTGTTTAGATTTGGATTTGGATGTGTCTGGATTAGTCAGGAAATAGGAAAACAAGCGGCCTTTATTGCACTTTTTGAGCAAAGAGTTGTTTATTTGCCTCTTTCAATAAAGGTAGACACTTGTTCACTATCAATTTATGAACTTTGCAAAACGTACGTAATAGCTATTGGCGATTTCATCTGGGGATTATATATTATAGCTGTGAATTACATATATTTTTAGATACCTACATGTAAAGATTGTGGAGTTTATGAAGAACAATAAACTTTGAACATTCAATTGAAAACTTATTATCGGAAGTACTAACATGCATGACATTTTTTTAATAATGACAACATTGGTGTATAATAATAACGTTATTGATAATTTATAACAATAATGGCTCTAGTCGTGGCAACTTCCAAACTTTCGGGAAATTGTAATCTATCGGACCGTCATTCAGGCGATGTTTCTGACAGATCACGATCTGAAAAATACTATCATGAAAGTGTATCCCGTGGATAAGCCGACCCCTTTCTACAGAATCTTTTTTCTGGTCCTCAAAATTCGGCTTATACGCGGTCATATTATACTGTACATGATAATCTCTTTCAGTAATGGCAAGGCTGCTTACATGCAAATCAGAAGTGGTTTTTTTTCAACTTTTAATATTGAAAAGTATTCAAGCATAGGTGTCCTTCCTCAACATTTGAGAGTATCCTATTCCAGATAAGATGTTGCAATTTCAAGCTTGCTGATGAGACTGATATTAAAACATAATTTATTATGAAAGATGTTGTATGTCATGCAAGCTTAAAGGCTATTTTGCTGTTGAAGATGAATTGCACATCATCTATGTATGAGACTCCTACTCTAAATTGAGAAACAAACCCATGAAGCTCTGGGTTAGAATTGGTCTTCAGCAACCCATGCTTAAGAGGCGACTAACGGGATGGGGTGGACAGGCTCGCTGACTTAGTTGATGCATGTCATCGTATCCCAATGGCATGGATCGATGCTCACTCTGTCAATCACTCGATTGTCTAGCCCAGACTCAATTATTTACAGACCGCCATCATATAGCTGGAATATCACTGAGTGTGTTAAGCAACAAAGAAATAAAGAATTGAGAAACAAGTTCATTGTAATATATTTTAGTAAATATCCTTCAATTAACCATTTTATTTCTATCATGCAGACAGAGTAAGACCATTGATGTTATCACAAATGTCAGTCTATCATGTATCATGTAAATATAAAAAGAAACACCAAATTGTAATCTTTTCAAATTGTAATTGTATGTAATTTTGAGCCAGAGGCCTCACGGAAATAAAACTGTCTGTCTGTCTGTCTGTCTGTCTGTCTGTCTGTCTGTCTGTCTGTCTGTCCAAGTGAAATTGGTGTGCTTTTTATGTGTTTATTAACTTTTCAGAAACCTTGATGTTTCTCATGTTTATCTCGTTTATGCCATTTGGATAAACAATGTTTTCTTTTTATGAAAACATGGCAAAATGTAATTGGGGACAATCTTCTGCTTAGAAAGCATGACATCTAGCAAGATGAAATGTGGGTATGATGTGTAGCATGATAATGAGAGTCCTAGACAAGTTTTAAAGGGAAATGTCACACCTCATCCCTTCAGCAGTCGTTGTGTACATCAAACATTATCTTGCAGTGTTAAATTTCAGAGTTCAACTTTGTGTCCACAGATCAGGACTGCTCTGGGATACAGATAGGCGATGGTAACACGGTGAACATGATGAACGTACCGGGCGGAATGCAGACAAGAAGTCAAGCTCGGGCAGCAGCAGGGGCACCCAAAGTGAATGTGAAGACACCAAAACGACCTCTGTCCAGTTAGTATACAGCAGGGGGATTACTGGGGCATGTAACTGAGACACTGGGCCCCGTCTCATAAAGCGATCTTAGTGCTAGGTTGATCGTAAGCCTATGATAAAGTATGGGAGTTACGACCAACTTAGCACTAAGATCTCTTTGTGGAACAGGGCCCAGGGCATATTCTGGTTGGGATATAGGGAAGCTGGAATTGTGTTAATAGACACTGTTTCAAAATATACATTTGTCCCATTCAACACGCAGGAATGACAATTAACCAGTCCTATGGCTGAAGCTATTGCCTAATGTGTCAGTAAGTCTGTTGTGTCCTAAATATGTGACAAATGGCCAGTGTAAGATTTTCGGGTGAGCTTTTTAATAGATTATGTATTTAACATGTTTAATGTCCCAAATGAACAGTTTATACAAGGAACAAACCTAGTCATTGGAACATCTTCAAAAGTTTTGATGTTGAATAATGATTACGGTAGAATATGGTCCTAAGAGGCATACATATATAGAACTGTAAATGCTTATAATGCTTTTTAAACAAATTATCAGCTAAAGAAAACTGATTTGATACATGAGGCAAACATAATCAGTGTCAATCTATCAATCCTACTCATTAGCGGTGAATCAAACAATGTCGGTCACCATCAGCAGTGAATCAAACAGTCAGTCGCCATCGGCAGTGAATCAAACAGTCAGTCACTATCGGCAGTGAATCAAACAGTCAGTCACTATCGGCAATGAATCAAACAGTCAGTCACTATCTGCAGTGAATCAAACAGTCAGTCACCATCAGCGGTGAATCAAACACTCAGTCAACATCACGCAGTGAATCAAACACTCAGTCAACATCACGCAGTGAATCAAACACTCAGTCAACATCACGCAGTGAATCAAACACTCAGTCACCATCAGCAGTGAATCAAACTGTCAGTCACCATCAGCAGTGAATCAAACACTCAGTCAACATCACGCAGTAAATCAAACAGTCAGTCACCATCAGCAGTGAATCAAACAGTTAGTCACCATTGGCAGTGAATCAAACACTCAAGTCAACATCACGCAGTGAATCAAACACTCAGTCAACATCACGCAGTGAATCAAACACTCAGTCACCATCAGCAGTGAATCAAACAGTCAGTCAACATCACGCAGTGAATCAAACAGTCAGTCACCATTGGCAGTGAATCAAACACTCAGTCAACATCACGCAGTGAATCAAACACTCAGTCACCATCAGCAGTGAATCAAACACTCAGTCAACATCACGCAGTGAATCAAACACTCAGTCAACATCACGCAGTGAATCAAACAGTCAGTCACCATCGGCAGTGAATCAAACACTCAGTCAACATCATGCAGTGAATCAAACACTCAGTCACCATCACGCAGTGAATCAAACACTCAGTCACCATCAGCAGTGAATCAAACACTCAGTCAACATCACGCAGTGAATCAAACACTCAGTCAACATCACGCAGTGAATCAAACAGTCAGTAACCATCAGCAGTGAATCAAACAGTCAGTCAACATCACGCAGTGAATCAAACACTCAGTCAACATCACGCAGTGAATCAAACAGTCAGTCACCATCAGCAGTGAATCAAACAGTCAGTCACCATCGGCAGTAAATCAAACATTCAGTCAACATCATGCAGTGAATCAAACAGTCAGTCATCATCGGCAGTGAATCAAACAGTCAGTCAACATCACGCAGTGAATCAAACACTCAGTCAACATCACGCAGTGAATCAAACAGTCAGTCACCATCAGCAGTGAAACAAACAGTCAGTCAACATCACGCAGTGAATCAAACAGTCAGTCACCATCGGCAGTGAATCAAACACTCAGTCAACATCATGCAGTGAATCAAACAGTCAGTCACCATCAGCAGTGAATCAAACAGTCAGTCACCATCGGCAGTGAATCAAACACTCAGTCAACATCACGCAGTGAATCAAACACTCAGTCAACATCACAAAGTGAATCAAACAGTCAGTAACCATCAGCAGTGAATCAAACACTCAACATCACGCAGTGAATCAAACAGTCAGTCACCATCAGCAGTGAATCAAACAGTCAGTCACCATCACGCAGTGAATCAAACAGTCAGTCACCATCAGCAGTGAATCAAACAGTCAGTCACCATCAGCAGTGAATCAAACACTCAGTCAACATCATGCAGTGAATCAAACACTCAGTCAACATCACGCAGTGAATCAAACACTCAGTCAACATCACGCAGTGAATCAAACAGTCAGTCGTCACCATCAGCAGTGAATCAAACAGTCAGTCACCATCACACAGTGAATCAAACACTCATTCAACATCACACAGTGAATCAAACAGTCAGTCACCATCAGCAGTGAATCAAACAGTCAGTCACCATCACACAGTGAATCAAACACTCAGTCAACATCACGCAGTGAATCAAACACTCAGTCAACATCACGCAGTAAATCAAACAGTCAGTCGTCATCAGCAGTGAATCAAACACTCAGTCACTATTGGCAGTGAATCAAACACTCGTTCAACATCACGCAGTGAATCAAACACTCAGTCACCATCAGCAGTGAATCAAACACTCAGTCAACATCACGCAGTGAATCAAATAGTCAGTCATCAGCAGCAGTGAATCAAACAGTCAGTCAACATCACGCAGTGAATCAAACAGTCAGTCATCAGCAGCAGTGAATCAAACAGTCAGTCAGCATCAGCAGTGGATCAAACAGTCAGTCAACATCACGCAGTGAATCAAACAGTCAGTCACCATCGGCAGTGAATCAAACACTCAGTCAACATCATGCAGTGAATCAAACAGTCAGTCACCATCAGCAGTGAATCAAACAGTCAGTCACCATCGGCAGTGAATCAAACATTCAGTCAACATCACGCAGTGAATCAAACACTCAGTCAACATCACGAAGTGAATCAAACAGTCAGTCAGCATCAGCAGTGGATCAAACAGTCGGTCACCAACGGCAGTGAATCAAACAATCAGTCACCATCGGCAGTGAATCAAACAGTCGGTCAGCATCAGCAGTGGATCAAACAGTCGGTCACCAACGGCACTGAATCAAACAATCAGTCACCATCAGCAGTGAATCAAACAGTCAGTCAACATCACGCAGTGAATCAAACACTCAGTCAACATCACGAAGTGAATCAAACAGTCAGTCACCATCAGCAGTGGATCAAACAGTCGGTCACCATCGGCAGTGAATCAAACAATCAGTCACCATCAGCAGTGAATCAAACAGTCAGTCACCATCGGCAGTGAATCAAACAGTCGGTTACCATCGGCAGTGAATCAAACAGTCAGTCACCATCAGCGGTGAATCAAACAGTCAGCCACCATTGTTACGTGTTGATTCCCAAATTGAAACAATATGTCAATCCAGAAATCTGTACGTAAAAGAACCTAGTTTGAAACCAACAAACAACCAACAAGTGGTATGCGATCACAATCAACAAATGTATTACAAAATTCACTAAGTTTACAAATCAATACAAATTACTGTACAGCAATTACAATGGCAGTAAACAGTAGAGTGGTAGTACAATATTCAATGCAATAAATAATATGATGGCAGTGGTCACTATCAAATGCAAAATTACAGTGATGATAACAAAACTCAGTGCTTCCAAGATGGCCTTGACAGGGAATCAGGGATGATGAGCAAGCCTCACTTGAAAGCTGGTTCCAAAGCAATGAAAATGTGTGTGAGTCGAAATGTGTGAGAGATAATGTGTGAGACATATGCAAACACACAATATATACAGTCAATATTCTTTATTCATTTCATACTGTAGGCCATCGACCCATTTTACATTTAGATAGTCAGGTCCTCAATGGACATTAAATATATACAGTCCAACTTGCTTCCAGAACACCGCAGAATATTCCATACCAGTCCACGGTATTCTGGAAGTTTACACACCAAACTAGTGTCTAAGTATAGAAACTTCCAGATGACTGCTTAGATTAAATGACACTACATTCCAGCCAACTAATCACTGCCCAAATACAACGCAATGAGCATATACCGAATCTCCACAGAAACAATGTAACAGTGTCACAATCATTGTTAAACAATACAATACATTATCATAATTCACCATCAGAAGTGAATCAAATATAATTACACACAGTCAAGCTTTCGGCCTCCCGGCCTTCATCAGGCACGCTCTGTTGGTTTTGTACTACGTCATTCGAGTTCCTTTTTCAACCATTGCTGTAACTGACTTGAGCTATGACTTCATTACTAACAGTGACTTCAAAGCTATTGTACATTGTGACATCGTGATAAGTTTGACGTCATGGCAACTCCTGTCTCTGAACAAGCAGTTCTTCACATGCTGAGGGAAGGGATGTCTTCCTATTAAGGCCTTTTGGGTGTTCTATCCCGAGGCGTTCTCTCCACCTGTTTTCTATTATTTATCCATAAGTTCTACCTGTCTCACAGATCCTTTCAATTATCAGGACAAAAACGTCCCTAGGTGTTTGTTATAACCACTTTTTTCTTTTATTTTAATCAGCGTCAGGAGTTTGTTATACCGGTAACTATGTTTCACTGTTATCTTACTCAGGGTCTGAAAGTCCCTTGGCGTTTGTTGAAACCATGTTTTCCTGTAATCCTTCAAGAGTCGGAAAGTCCCTCAGAGTTTGTTGTAACCATGTTTCACTGTTATTTTACTCAGGATCTGAAAGTCCCTTGGAGTTTGTTATAACCATGTTTTCCTGTAATCCTTCAAGATTTGGAAAGTCCCTTGGAGTTTGTTATAACCAAGTTTTCCTGTAATCCTTCAAGAGTCGGACAGTCCCTCAGAGTTTGTTGTAACCATGTTTTTCTGTAATCCTTCAAGAGTAGGAAAGTCCCTTGGAGTTTGTTGTAACCATGTTTTTCTGTAATCCTTCAAGAGTAGGAAAGTCCCTTGGAGTTTGTTATAACCATGTTTTCCTGTAATCCTTCAAGAGTAGGAAAGTCCCTCAGAGTTTGTTGTAACCACGTTTTCCTGTAATCCTTCAAGAGTAGGAAAGTCCCTCAGAGTTTGTTGTAACCATGTTTTTCTGTAATCCTTCAAGAGTAGGAAAGTCCCTTGGAGTTTGTTGTAACCACGTTTTCCTGTAATCCTTCAAGAGTAGGAAAGTCCTTTGGAGTTTGTTATAACCATGTTTTCCTGTAATCCTTCAAGAGTCGGAAAGTCCCTCAGAGTTTGTTGTAACCATGTTTTCCTGTAATCCTTCAAGAGTAGGAAAGTCCCTTGGAGATTGTTATAACCATGTTTTCCTGTAATCCTTCAAGAGTAGGAAAGTCCCTCAGAGTTTGTTGTAACCATGTTTTCCTGTAATCCTTCAAGAGTCGGAAAGTCCCTTGGAGTTTGTTGTAACCATATTTTCCTATAATCCTTCAAGAGTCGGAAAGTCCCTTGGAGTTTGTTGTAACCATGTTTTTCTGTAATCCTTCAAGAGTAGGAAAGTCCCTTGGAGTTTGTTGTAACCATGTTTTTCTGTAATCCTTCAAGAGTAGGAAAGTCCCTTGGAGTTTGTTATAACCATGTTTTCCTGTAATCCTTCAAGAGTAGGAAAGTCCCTCAGAGTTTGTTGTAACCACGTTTTCCTGTAATCCTTCAAGAGTAGGAAAGTCCCTCAGAGTTTGTTGTAACCATGTTTTTCTGTAATCCTTCAAGAGTCGGAAAGTCCCTTGGAGTTTGTTGTAACCACGTTTTCCTGTAATCCTTCAAGAGTAGGAAAGTCCTTTGGAGTTTGTTATAACCATGTTTTCCTGTAATCCTTCAAGAGTCGGAAAGTCCCTCAGAGTTTGTTGTAACCATGTTTTCCTGTAATCCTTCAAGAGTAGGAAAGTCCCTTGGAGATTGTTATAACCATGTTTTCCTGTAATCCTTCAAGAGTAGGAAAGTCCCTCAGAGTTTGTTGTAACCATGTTTTCCTGTAATCCTTCAAGAGTCGGAAAGTCCCTTGGAGTTTGTTGTAACCATATTTTCCTATAATCCTTCAAGAGTCGGAAAGTCCCTCAGAGTTTGTTGTAACCATGTTTTCCTGTAATCCTTCAAGAGTAGGAAAGTCCCTTGGAGTTTGTTGTAACCATGTTTTTCTGTAATCCTTCAAGAGTAGGAAAGTCCCTTGGAGTTTGTTATAACCATGTTTTCCTGTAATCCTTCAAGAGTCGGAAAGTCCCTCAGAGTTTGTTGTAACCATGTATTCCTGTAATCCTTCAAGAGTCGGAAAGTCCCTTGATGTTTGTTATAACCGTGTTTTCCTGTAATCCTTCAAGAGTCGGAAAGTCCCTCAGAGTTTGTTGCAACCATGTATTCCTGTAATCCTTCAAGAGTCGAAAAGTCCCTTGACGTTTGTTATAACCGTGTTATCCTGTAATCCTTGCAGAGTCTGAAAATGAGCCCACAAGGGACCAGATGGACAGAGTGTGCAAAAAACTGACTAAGTACAATGACACGGCATGGAAGGACCTAGGGACCAAGCTAGGCCTGACCACTGGGGAACTGGAGACGATCCACCATGACCACCGCATAGAAGGGGACTACGAGCTGAGCTACCAGACTCTATTGGTGTGGAAAAGACGCCAGCCCACCCCTCCACAAGTCAAGGTTTTAGCTAAAGCACTCTGTGATATTGGTAGAGGAGACCTCTCTGACACTCTGACATAATCAGGATTTGTATCTGGAAAAGCAAATGTTTATTCATTTTTTTAATGTTTATCCTACGTCGAAAGTCCATTGATAGGTGTGTAATTTTCCAAGTGGGATGGAAATGGGCCTTTGCCATCTTCACAATGAATTTTGTCGCTTGCAAAAGGATGAATCTTTTATACAACACTGTACTTTATTTAAATTTCATAACGTACATTTGCAAAAACACAAATGACCAGCAACTGAGTTTTGTTTAAATTTCATAACCCCAAGGGTTGCGTTGTACAACGTGATCTTAACGCTAAGGTTATCGTAACTCTCATACCTCCCATACGTAGCGCTAAGGTGATCGTAACTCCCTACCTTCCATTACATAGTGCTAAGGTGATCATAACTCCCGTTCAAAGCACTAAGATGATTATAACTTTACCAAGTTTTCCTATAATAATTAGATCCACATCAAGTGCTTTTATGAGTTATCATGGTGTAATATTATACATCATGATAACTCATAAGAGCACTTCTAATTATTATTGGAAAACTTAGTATAAATGTCATATCATGATAACTCCCTTACCTCCCACACATAGCGCTAAGGTGATCATAACTCCCTACCTCCCATACGTAGTGCTAAGGTGATTGTGAGTCGGATACTTTCCATAGGTAGTGCTAAGGTGATTGTAACTCCCATCCGTAGTGCTAAGGTGATCGTAACTCCCATACGCAGTGCTAAGGTGATCATAAGTCATCCATCACTTGGAGCAGATGATGTAGACTGACATTCGTTGTTCCATCTTCCATCCATCCAACTTCAAATGCGATAAGTTTTCTCTGAAACCACTATGGATTCAATGATGACAATTTCATACATCATACCCTCTAGATGACATATTGAATTCATCATTAAGTGATGAATATGTTGTCATGTTTGAAAACTGCCATCAAGAATTAGTGTTTAGCACCCTTTAGTTTGCTTTTGCTCAAATGAGGTAACGGTGCGTTTCAAGAACATAACATATAAACCGTTTCATATATCTTCATGAGACTCTGTTTACACATCAGCCATTTGCTGAACTAGTGACTTTGATGTTCCGGAATTTTTTTTTTAAATTTCAAAGTTCAAATTGGGGTCCCTTTTTGTGGTGTAAAACATTTCATTATTTCTCCATGAAACTTTGCAATGTATTATACTAGGTAGGACTGGTGCCTATTTTCACAGAAATTGAAACTATTAAATACAATTGTGAACATGCACAGATGGTGGCGGATATGAATGACTTTGTCTCCGGGGTGTCACAAACATGTCAACATTTAGGCTTGTGTAGCAGCCATAAACTTTCTGAGTCTGTGATGGGATCGGACCATCTGATCCGAGGTCGGACGCCTTGTCCGCATGACCAAAGGGTTTAACCCCATCATCAGGCTGACAAGATAAGGATTTCATCTGTGAGATGACTCTACGCCCTGCTACATACTCCCCCGTCAACAGAAGGTACTGAGGCTTATTTTGCTCAAATGTAATATTAACTTGCTCAGACCCACGTTGGGCGCCAATGTAGCGGCCACAAAATTTTCGAGTCCCAAGGATTTGAAACACCGACCTTCTGATCCGAGGTTGGACGCTTTGTCCACATGAAATAGAGGTTAACCCCTTCAGCATGCTGACAAGGTGCGGATGTCATCTGTGGGATGACTCCATGCCCTGCTACACTTCTATAGCATCCTCCAACTCCCCAAACCCTCTAACTTTTGGCCATCAGCAGCTTGTTGCAGACTTGGCTCAGGTCTGTGATCTCATGAAGATTAACTGGTAAGTATCCAGTGGCAACATTACACTGTTTGCTTTTCGTGTTCTGAGTACGAGTTATTGGTTTCCCATTGTTTGAATCCCCAGGGACCATATCCGTATAGGGTCTCCGGAATCCCTAGTGCTTACAGATGGTCAACTGTGGTCAGTTTCGCAGAATCATTGTAAAGATCTAATAGATCTATCATCCATAAAAACCCATTCCAAGTGTTCTGTCTATTTTCCAAAAATAACAGAAACATGAAGATCATCATAATTTTTGTAAAATTCATTGATATCAGCCTGTGATAGTGTTTGAGTCCCTATTTGTTTGCTTGGGTGATTAAATGACAGCTGGCAAATTAGTTCTGTATGTATTTGTAACTCACATGGATTTGTAGAGGTTGAACATAACCTTGCTTGAAAAGGTTTGTCAGTGTTCCCGTTTAGGTTAAGACCAGTAATTCATGTGACTGTCAGTCCCTGTGGACCTTATAGAGTACCTTATAAATCGTTGTTGCTGAACAAAATATCGGTGATATTCATAAAGTACATTTTTCTAACAAATTCAGCTTGTCTGTTACCATCAGGGTTTCCCCTTGTCTATTTCTAGGTTAAATATCCATTTGTAGCGACTTCGTCTTAAAATATGATAAAAAAAGAAGAGTAATTTGTGACTGAAGTTTGTGTGAATGACGTATAGATCTAACTTTGTTACTTCAAAATGACATATTTGCACTGAACATGATGTTGAAAGAATTAAAACCAAATAATTTCCATGCGTTTTTATATTTGTTGAAAGTTGGGACTGGCAAAAATTAGGGGGGACTGGTAATTTTTAGAGTTTCCTGTCCACAAGGACTGGCAGTTTCAAAAGCCAGCGGGAACACTGTTTGTGTGTGTTGAGATTAATGTCCTGGTGCATGGGGTCAGTTGTCCACTGGTTGTAGACTGGAATGGATTGAACAACCTGGACTCTCCAACAAAGCTTTGTTTCAGGAGTGATGTCCCAATCTCTATCATTTCCACCGCTAACCTATCACATCATGTCTAGCCCATGAGAGAACTTTGATTGGATGGCTAGTTCTAGCATCATGTCATAATGAAGCGACTTAAAGGTAGCAAATAAGCTCAGGGTATTTATCATCACAGAATTGAGATATAATACAGCTGGAGTCGTGAGACCTTCCTTTTTGTATACATGTAGTCAAACTGCATGACATTGTATATTGTCAAATTGTTCATGTGCCATTAGTGGTATGCACATTTTGTAACTCTGCCTCCATCCGTGAAGATTAGCTCCCTTTCCTTGTCTCATCCATGGCAGTTCAATAAACACCGGTTCCAATGCTGGATGGTTGAGTGACCTCCGTGGTCAGTACTGGCGATGTACGTACTTAGCATCATTTTTCAAGGGTCACCTAGGTATGTAGTGTCAAACATGAACATATGCCAACAAGTGTCAATAATTCTGAGCATGTTGAAAATGTGATTAACAGTTGAAGAACACATTGTTTATGCCTGTGTCACAGTGATAGGATGCTTTCATGAAACCGGAATAATGGACGACTATTAAAAACAATAAAAAATGCAAGACTGAAGGTGATAAAAAAAGTTACGCAAAACACAATCCTGTATTCTAATGTCTATTTGAAAGAGTTGAGTCCCAAGATATACCCTGATTTTGTTTCTAGGTTTGTCAGCACCATACCCGTGCTCGTTGGTTTCACAGGAGTGGTAAACGTCTGAGACCTGCATCACTTCAGGCTTTCCTCCCACAGTAAGCTGACACGCTGTGATATAACTGGAATACTGTTAAAAGCGATGTTAAACCCAACTCACTCACTAACTCTGGTTGTCTCACTTCTCTTCGGCTTGTCAAGGTAATTGAAAGGACACAGGTGGCCCAGTGGCCTCTGGATAGGAACTTGCCTGCTGTGCAAAGTAACATCCCTAAGCAGTGTCAGGATCTGGTCTGATCTCAGCTGACATCCCATGATATTACTGATATTTTTCAAAGAGACATTAACCCAAATGATCTAGTTTCTGATGTCAGTAAGCATAGGAAGCATTGATACATGTGTTGAAGACTTCTTGACCAGTGGAATCAGTATTTGTTTTGTTATATTGTGTAATTATTAGCTTTAAAAGTACATGCATAAAAATGCTTTAACAAAGTACTGATTGTTAATTTCTAGCTGGTATATTGTTGCATCCAATTGGGAGTGTAATTCTGACTTTGTTTCTGATGTCAATACTCAGTGGGCATGGGGGCCCAGTCATCCAAGGCACCACATTTTGCGGTGCAGAGTTGCAGCCCTTGGTCAGGCCAGAAATATGATTGTGGGTTCGAATCCCAGTTTGCCCCACCGATTATGTTTCCGAGTTTGTCAGCACTATGCCCATGCTCGTATTTAAAGACTGAAATCTGCATCACTTCAGGCTTTCCTCCCTCATTAAGTTGAGATGCTGTGATATAACTGGAAAACTGTTCAAAGCAGTTTTAATCCCAACTTACTCATTCACTCCAATGAAGAATTGATATATGTGCCAGTGAAGCAAGTATGTTCAGTTTTTGTTTTGTTATTCTTTGCTTTAAAAGGGCTTGTTTAAAATGCTTCAACAAAGTATTGTTTGTTTGTTCATTTTTCCTCCTGAAAGGATCTACTGGACACATTGTTAGGCCACAAATACAGATTACCTGGAATGTTGCATTGACAGTTTTGTCTGTGTGTCCATAATTCATATTTCAGCATCTCTGAAACTAATAAGTGGGACTGGCCGCTAAGATCCGGGGTAGAATAGGTCTTCAGCAAACTCATACTTGCCGTAAAAGGCGTCTATGATTGTCGTAAGAGGCGACAAACGGGATCGGGTGATCAGGCTCGCTGACTTGGTTGAAACATGTCATTGATCCCAATTGCGTAGATCGAGGATCATGATATTAATCACTGGATTGTCTGGTCCAGACTCGATTATTTACAGACCGTCGGCATATAGCTGGAATATTGCTGAGTGCGGCATAAAACAACAAACGAACCAATCAACTGGCCGCCATGTTGTTGATATCACCAACCCTACACTGGGGCTGGTTTGTAGCTCACCTTCCGATTGATCTGAGTAGTGTAGCAATACAAATTGGGTAATGAAAATCTAGGGTGGGTAATTTGATACTGTTAATCGCCTATTAAAACAAGAATGGATTGCTGAAGACCAATTCTCAACTGGATCTTCCTGCTTGAAAAGGTAGGTCTTTAGATGTGCCTTGAATGATGGAAGTGACAGAGAGAGCTTGTAGATTGTTCCAATGTGTTGAAGCACTGTATTCGAAAGATCTATATAAGTTTTCAAGCAGGTTTCTAGAACTTGCAGCAGGTGTTCACATTCAGGACGGAGGGATCTAGATGGTTTATATAAGGCAAAGTTCCATCAGATACAGTGGGGCTGATTCATTGAAGCATTTGTAGACTAGCAACAATACTTTAAAGTAAACAAGGTTTGAGAGGCAACCAATGCAGCGACATCAGAGCTGGGGTTATGGGTGTCCATGTTTAAGTTCTCCTAACAATACATGCATCTGTGTTTTGTGTGACTGAAGCCCCTCGAGCTGTTCATCTGCGATGTTACCCACCAGACTATTACAGTAGTCAAGCCTTGACAGGACTAAACATTGCCATCAACAAAGACGGGTTGTTATGCCGCCATATACCATTACACTTCCACCTCTAAACCGACGACGTTGAGTAATGCAAGCGCCGCTAAAACGTTCTCCTGGACGCCCGTTGACCCGTGCATGGCCGTCAGATGTGTCGAGTTAAACCTGGACTCATCTGTAGTATACTGTCATTGTCTTGTCTTCTGAACCTCAGGCTAGGCGTGCCTGACGGTTACGTGGAAGCAGAATTGGGCGTATTGCTAGCAGTCGGGGGTGAACGTTGTGCGCCTTCTACTGGTTGCGTGCGGTTCTGCCACTAATCGTCTCAACCCATAAGTTGTCTGTGATGTTAATATGGCAGTTCGGTATCGATTCCGAAGATGATCCAACCGAATAGGGTTGTCTTGTTGACGTGACGTCACACGTGGACGACCGGCCCGTGGCATGAGTGTTATCCTGCTGTAGGTAACGTCGCCAAAGAGGTGATATTGTATTTTGATGTACGATTGCGTAAGCGTTGTTTAGGATTAAACAAAAGTGATTTTATGAGCACATGATAGCTAAACAATCACGTTTGTGAGTATCATGCTCAGAACATACACGCAAACATGCAAATTGTGAATCACGACCTTAAAATCGAAATATCTTCATGAATATGTGTTGAAAGATTCATTATTTATTTTGAGAATAATTTTTTTTATTGAACTTTGTAGAGGCATAGTTAATTTTTCCATTCGTATTTTAAAAAGGTTGGTGACATCGTTATCATATTGTTTTTCATTTAATGAAACATTTACTGAATATTTTGTTGCCTTTGCGGCAAATTGTCGCTTCTGTCAGCTTGGACATATGTAATTGGAAGAGAATTAAAAGGGCATTCATTCATATGGGAGGTAGCTTCACAATGTTAGAGTCCCAGTAAACAGGAACCGAATACCGTTGAGGGTGTCTCCAGTACATAGTGTTAACAGGGGAGGGTGTCATCTGTAAAGGGTGTCACAAACATGGCGTCATGAATGGTACGTGGTGTCATCAGTTCACGAAGTTAACTGTTAACAGGATGCCATCAGTTCACGAAGTTAACTGTTAACAGGGTGCCATCAGTTCAGGGTCCATCAGAGGTATGAGTCAGGATAAGTATAAAAGATATATATATTTACCCTAAAAAATACATATTTCTAAAATGATACTGTGTATCATCAATTGTTTTATGTGAAATGCCACATTCAAATAGATAATCACACTTCCTTAGAGAAAGTCCATTGAAAGAAATGATTTAATTGGATGATGATAGTTATTCTTATTTGGAAGCATGTTTGTGGTCTGACCTTAAAGTAACATCACAGAAAGAAGATTGGGTATGTACTGAAAGAATTTTCTATAATGCTGTTCAGATATGTATATGTATTTCCCCTCGTCTCTCGAATCTTAAAGTATTGTTAATATAAGTTTTAACATGTGTTTCGTTTAACATCCATCTTCCCGTGGCAAAGGGCGCTAACTGACTATAAAAGTTGAACTAGGCTGTTATTCATTTTGTGAAGGAGATTGTAGTGTAGAAATGGAACCATCAACCTGTGCTTACTGTGGGTGACAACCAAGTGGGTTAGGTGGTCTCATTCACTGACTTGGTTGATTCAGTGTCATTGCATCCTGACCACTTTGGAAATTGCTCATAATACCAGTCACTAGTTTGTCTGGTCAAGACATGGATGATTTCCTAGAGATGGAAGTATGCTTACTGTGGCACTAACAACACTCACTTGCTCATGTCAGAGTCAGAGTTTTTTACATGAGATCGGAGTAATGCCCCTTGGCCATGCCAGGATTCACTGGTTGTTGGTTCAGTTCCAAGATTACATCAGCGTCACAGGGACTGTGATTCTCATAAGAACTTTGTATCACAGGGTTCTTGCTTGCCGTAAAAGGCGACTATGCTTGTGGTAAGAGGCGACTAAGGGGATCAGGTGGTCAGGCTCTCTGACTTGGTTGATGCATATCATCGATCCCAATTGCATGGATCGATGCTCATGATATTAATCACTGGACTGTCTGGTCCAGATTCGATTATTTACAGACCGCTGTCATATAGCTGGAATATTTCTAAGTGTGGCGTTAAACAACAAACAAACAAGCAAACAAACAAACATTTTCAAAGTGGCGGTAAACCTTGAGCTTCAGGAGTGCAGTATACATGTACCACACAAACATGTATTAATTTGTTTGTTGTTTAACGCTGAAGTATTTCAGTTATATGGCAGTGGTCTGTTCAATTAAGTCTGGACCAGACTGTCAGTGATTGATATCATGCACGTCAATTCACATAATTGGGATATAATGACATCCATTCAACCAAGTCACTGAACCTGACCCCAAATCCATTCAGTCACATCTTATGACAACCTGGTACCTGGTACCTATATCATTATATATCCTTACCCGGGGTTCCCCCTGGTTAAACATGTATTAGAAACAGACTATGGTAATTAAGTATTTGGCTCAATGTAGACTCGAAGCAGTCCCTGTTTGTTTGCTTTTTGAAGTTATTTGAGCCATTATTTACATGTTACTATAATATATTGGAGACTGCTGCAGTCTAGGCGCAATGTTGATCATCAGCTTCTGGAGTAGATGTGTTGTGTTGTTTCATTGTTCCATTAGTGACATCCAATATCCAATATGGTTATAGCGTGTCATCATACCCGACGGCGTTGATCATTGCTCTCTGTATCAATCACTGGAATTGTCTGGTCCAGACTCGATTATTTCCAGGCCTCCATCATACATATTGCTGAGTGAGACATTGCACCATGCACAGAGAAAACTAACAAACAATATTTCATTTTAGATATCATTGTGGCACTGGGTTGCTCTGATTTCCATTGATAACATAATGTGTATTTAGTGTACGTAAAGGATAAAACATGCTCCCGTGCATTTGGTTGAAAATGTAAAGATGAGAGAATGGAACAAACTCATGGGCAGGGAGTTTGTCCCGACCCTAATTCTTTATATTTTAACCAACCAAAAGAAAATCTGAAACAACATTAATGAGCAACGTTGTTTCCAACCCACTTTCCATGAACCTTAGGAAACGACCGTTCAATATCTATTGCTGGTCACATTAAGTCACCATCAAATGACATCACTAATGGCTCTGCTACTGAAGCTGTTTGCAGTACTCTTTACACTGAAGACACTGCTTATTACTGTCTACAAATTGAAAAAGTTGAAAGAATGATGTTGGATAATAAATAAAATCTCAGCCTCGTGTCTTTTGATATCAAATATATCAACACTCATTGATAAAAGTGGCAAAAATCCTCGGCAAGCCTCGGAATTTTTTCAATTTTTTTCAACTCGTGTTGATATATTTGATATCAAAAGACACTCGGGTGAGATTCTCTATACCTTTCCATGATACACAAACCTTTTTTTATATGTGAAGTGTACATTTTTATAGAATGACATATCTGATTATACCTATCGAAAGTTCAATAGCATATTTGTCCACTTTTCATTCTTTCCTGGTCAGTAGATTGGTAAACCATCAAAATAAAGTGTAGCTTAAAAGAAAAATGTTGAGTTTTGATAAGAGTTCACACTTTAATCTGTAGAAATCAAAATGCTCAGAAAGTGTTTCTTATGAGATTAGCTCTCCCATGGTACTGGTTCCATATTCCACCTAATGACCACCATACCCGCTTGATAGTGCTTCACATCACACTGCTTCCTCGTCCCTGGCACACAATGCTGACAAAGATATTGTTGGTAAACTTTTTCACCCTTTATGGCTTGTTAGTGGATATGAAACTATAAATTGCTTACATAACACAGCAATAAGTGCAGTTTATCAGAGGACACACTTGTTGATTCAGTCCTTGCCAACCCTTTTTTGATTTTGTCAATGAAATGATTGAAATGAGTCATTTATTTTCTCAACATACAAACAGCTTAATTCTTCATGACCAATTATTTCAATACTAATGATTGATGGTACAGCTATCTTAGAATTCTTTCATAACTTACGCTGGGAGTTACGATAAAACTCTGATAGCACAAAAGTATCATACATATATATCTGTTCATACTTTTGTGGGGCACAGATGGCTCATTTATATAAGGTGCCGTAATTCATTTTAAATACACACATTCTGATAATAGTCTGATTCTGTTTCTAAATCTCGCAGGGGACAAATAATTTTGTCTCTTGTGCAGTAAATGATCAGGGCACCACAACCTGACCAGACGTCAAATAAATGTTAATGTGTCATGGTCCAGACACAGGATATAGTTAAGTATGTAGTCAATCTGATTTTGTTGATCAGGGTTAGAAATAAGTCAGCAGTAACATATGCGTGTCGTAAGGGTCGACTAGATCAGGTGGTAAGATTCTGTGACTTTGTTGATTGCATGTCACAGATCCATGTTCATACTATCAGTCACTGGTTTCTCTGATCCAGAATCTTACATGGGGGCAGAGCCGGCCCAGTCGTCTAAGGCGCCACGATTCGCTGTGCAGAGTTGCGTCCCTTGGGCACCCCAGAAACCTATGATTGTGGGTTCGAATCCTGGTTCGCCCCGATTATGTTTCTAGGTTTGTCAGCACCATACCCGTGCTCGTGGGTTTCACCAAAGTGGTAAACCTCTGAGACCTGCATCACTTCAGGCTTTCCTCTCATATTAAGCTGACACACTGTGATATAAATGGAATAATGTTAAAAGCGGCGTTAAACCCCACTCACTCACCCAGAATCTTACAAACCATCGTCATATACAGCTGGAAGAAAGCTGATAAACAAATATTTTGTTGATAGAAAGAATTGTTCTTTAAGTTTGAAAATAAATGAAATTTGTAGAGAATGAATTCTTTCCAAGCATCTCATTATCATTTTCTTCTATGTGCAAGTTCTTCACAAAACAATGACAAGGATGTCAATGTGACCCCGCATTCTGGGCCAGTCTCCAAGAGACCTACTGTCCCTTTAAATGTAAACCTTTTAAGCAGCTAGAAGTGTACATCATAGACTACTCACTTGTAGGACTGTTTATAATAAAGTATTATGAATGAAAAAATGGCTTTTGATGTTTTTTTGTGTTTCATCAATGATCATATTAAATGTATTATTGTTAAAATGGGCAACTTGAGAAAAATGAGTCTAGTTTCACAAAATCTTCAAGTCAAATATTACACTGTACTTTGATTCATTTACACTAAAAAGTATTTGTATTTTTTTACACATACATTTTGAATCATCCTCCACAACCAGTGTTACATGGATCTACATGTCCCATTCCACTGTGAAATAATTGTGCCACTGTTCTATTCACTACCATCATTACGTAATGTGAACATCAGCAATGAATATCTGTACAATGCTCTATCCTAGAACGCGGAGTCAGGATCTTGGACCCTGATGACAGCGGTATATTGAGGAATCACTATCATTTTTCGGGGCAGTACTGTACTGTCACAACTCACTGCCTAGAACTGATACCACTATTCTCTGCTATTTGGGGCAGTGTTTGGAGTGATGGTCTCTATTTTGCCAGAGTCAGCAATATTATTGCAGGGTCATGATAACCTCATGTTATCAAGAGTGGACATTACAAACAAGTGCAGGAATGCACAGTAAAGTAGATATAGTTGATGGAAAAAACGTTTTAAAAAGTGACATAATTTATGTTACTTCCTGTGTTGTAGGAACAATATTATGCATAATATAACTTGTCTAGATGATAGCCATCAAACTACACACAGTGCGTTTGATCTCAGAGACTGGAAGAGGTCATCACCTTTTCAAACATAAATTGGTTAAATAATTTTAGCAGTCTGAGATATATTTCTTCTTCCGAGGTTTTACAAATGCATGAAAACGGTTTTTTTAAACATTATTTCCATTACATGTATTACATTTTTATTTTTTATTTTTTTGGTTACTTTTTTTTTTTTACATGTTTCCATGTTAAATAATAAAATGGAGACTCGATCCTGCAGTCTTGATGTGGGAATCTTAAAGTTTCCTTGATTTCAGGTGTTGGTGTCAAATTAAATAGATGACCACAAAGGATTTTCAGTTTTGTTTCCACCCTGCAGTGGTCAGTGGTCACCGGTGTGAACACCCAGCCAGGATGGTGAGGATGTCCAGGTGTGATGACAATCATCCACATCACAGCTGAGGGTGGGTCTGTCCTAGTGGTCACTCATCACTACTGTAACCATACAAGGCAGCCATTGTGAGCACCTGATCCTCAGTATTGTGGACTCTCATGATAAGGAGGAGCTATACTGATCACAAACATATTCCCCAAATTATGCTGGCTGTTTGTTTTCGGATATTTCATACATACAGTCAGGAAGTAGCTGCTGATCAGTATGCATTTGTACCTCCAATCCTATTTATCAGCACCTCCTATTATTTTAACCTGGTAAAATGTTCCACACAGTTTAACTACAACCATAGATAGATAGATAGACAGACAGACAGACAGATAGGCAGGCAGGCAGACAGACAGACAGACTGTGGACCCTATTGTTGTTATCATTATTTTTATAATATTCATTGCATAGTTTAAGGAGAGAGCAAAAAATTAAAACATTCTCAAGGTCAGATGTGTTCATAAACATAAATGCGAATTGTCTTTCGATTCTTTCACTCCTAAACCCATTATTAAAATATTTTGTGATTGTGAAATGTGCTTAGGGATGACGTGGTCTACATGGGGAGGAGTCGCTTACAATACATTCCTTTTGTACAAGCGTTGTCCTGAGCTTCGGAGCTTAAACCGGAAGCGAGCTATAAATAACATTAGCGGGAAAACCCAGAACATTTTCCAACTTTCGTTACTGATTTTGTCTTCACGAAAACCCAACATTTAGAAACTAACTTTTCCGACCTCGATACACGTGGCATCTGACATATTTTGATTTTGCAAACATGGTAAGTGATTAATTATGTACATTTTGCCTCAAAAATGTCTTTGCACTTGGGACTGTCGGCGTATCTTGAAATGATGTTTAATGTATATCCTCTTACGTCCCTTATGCCCCCTTTCAAGTTTGAATGAACTAGAAGCGTTTAAATCTACTCTTCTGGTGGCATCACAGAGGAAAATATCCAACTTGATGATAAATTCAGACGTATAGATTAAAACATTTACCACAACAAACTGAATCATTTTCGAAAAACGACAGAACATGGAGTACTAGTCAAAACGGATATGACACAAAATGTCCAAACTCATATAGTTAAATCTCGTTTGTAGAAAGGGATCATGGTTTAGGGTAGCGTTAATATTGTAAACCAACATGTTTTGTCACATTGCTAATCCCAGTACTGACAATAGGTTGTTGTTTTTTAATACCCACAGTAGGGCTGGGACGAGTCGAAATTTACTACTTGGGTACCCGACCCCCTATTAACCGACCCTACCCGGGTACCCTCTGCAAATCTGAAGAGTAGGGAACAAAATGTCTGATTGGTAATTGTTTTACTTACTGCTGCCCTGGCTAAAACTATTTAGATACATGTATCAAATAATCAGATCATGAATTCACCGAAGTTGACTGAAGCTTTATCTAAAATTTACTCAAACATTTACAAGTCAAAAGGAATGTGTGCATCATCAGAAAGATATGTGAACATTAGCGACACTGAGCTATAGTAAGTTTTTGTCATTAAACAATATATCACGTGACTAACCAATGGTCTGGGTAGTCCTATGGATACCCAGGTCCTACTCAGGACCCACTCGACCCGAGTACCCGAGTCACCCGTGGCAGGTTTCATGGAATCCCCTAATTGAAACCTCTGTCTACATGAAAAACACAGTATGTGTAGCGTATATTTGATATTTTTGACATTGTCAGAATTTACTTATTAAGTACACAACACAGTGGTAGACAGTAATATGTACTGGTGGTGTATTCCCCATAGGTCCCCACAGCGAAGGTTGTCATTAATTTGGTTAGACAACAGATGGGGATTCTCAGTTTTAAGTAATTACTTTATTGGAATCTCTCAGCTTATCAAACCACCTAACAACCAGCATAACAGTACAGTCCACAAATAAGCATTTGTTAATTATTTTGGATATAAAAGATAAAACTACATCACATCACACATATTGTCTCTGTATATCATTCTGCATTCCGTCTGGCACATTAACAGAGTGGATTGTTCCTAATTCATGTGTTAATACTGTAATGAATGAGGACATTATAATAAGTATTTATGAAACCCCTTGTCTTTTATTAATTATATCATCATAATAATTGTCTAATTACACATTATGGAAGCTCATATTATTTTTTTATCATGAAAGACGTGTGTTGTGACTTGAAGTTCTGTAGATATTGTCCCCTGTACAGAATGTTTGAAAAATATCCAAAGGAAATTCATCCAAATCATCCAAAATTGGCTCCCACAGGAGATATCTCTTGGATGGGGTCAAGCGATATCTAAATTGTAGATATCGCTGCAGTGAAATGGCATCACAATGCTTTGCAGTCCCTTGTGACGGCATTGTTACCATGACATCACAATCAAATGACATCACAAATGGCTCTGCAACTGCTGTTAGCAGTACTTTTTACACTTAAAGCCCCCATTACACTTTCAAATAAACTTTGATCAAAAACTTAGTCAAAGTCCATTTTGACCAAGGTTTTGATAGTGTAACATGCCGTCAAAAACTTTGTCAAATATGCCTATGCCTACCCCGACGCCGCCTTCTCAACATGGCAATACACAAAATACATATCACAACAGCAATACATTCTTCATCAGTAACATCCACCTTGGCAAGATAATTCCTGCCAAAACTTTGACGGCCTATCAAAAACTTTGATGAGTGTAAACAGCCCAACCCGGACCAAGAAAACTTGGTCAAAGTTTTCTTTGACCAAGTTTTTTTTATCAAAGTTTTTGATAGTGTAACGGGGGCTTAAGACACTGCTTATTACTGTCTACAAACTGAAAAAGTTGGAAGAATGATTTTGGATGATAAATAAAATCTCATCCGAGTGTCTTTTGATATCAAGTATGTCAGCACTCATTGATTCTCTATTTAACACCCGATGTAAAAGGTGATTATGCTTGTCGTAAGAGGCGACTAACTGGATCGGTAGTCAGGCTCGCTGACTTGGTTAAAGCATGTCATCAATCCCAATTGCGTGGATCGATGCTCATGATGTCAATCACCGGTTTGTCTGGTCAAGACTTGATTATTTACAGACTGCCGCCATGTAGCTGGAATATTGCTGAGTGCGGCGTAAAACAACAAACCAAACCAAAAAACTTCAGACAGTCTATAACCCAGGCCGGCTTATCTGCTCGCAAAGACACTGAATAAATCTTTATCATTTCCTCAGATTCAGATTTTACTACTGTTCAAATCTACTTCTGCTGAGAGAGCATGAGATGAAGTAGGATGAAATTGTATGATATGTGGCAAGATAATGAGAGTCCTGTTCAAGTCAGAAATTTATTATTTTTAGCTCAGTTAAACTTTAAATTTAATACCCCAAGGGATTAAAAACTTTTTGAGGATATATAGGGCAGGGATGTTGCTCAGATTTATTTATCCCCTGCAATGAAAAAAACATATAGTAGTTCATCACCAAACTTGGTACATAGATAGGTCTGGTGGTGAATTTGGTGCCTTTTGAAAGTTCGGGAATTTTCGAGTCTCCATCACATCAACTTGAATCAAATTTTGTTTTTTTTAATTAGTTAAAATTTGATGTCTATGATTAGAACTTTCCAACACAAAGAGTTATTACTTGGAGATTTCAAATTGAGAAAGCATCTACATTAAGAAGAGTGACTACACAACAAGGTCTACATCCAACTGATGTTGTATTATACTTGTACTCCAAGAAGTACACACATTGTCTTGTTGTGATCACTCTGGAGCCTGTTTCCTGTGTAGAGTCAGACAATGTCATCTGGAGGCTTACACCAAACACACACCAGTTTCTGTGTTGTTGATATAGGCTCATCTGGCTCTAGCCCCACCCTAACTGTAGAGTAAAGTTGGACATCTCTGTATAAAGCTACACCTAACACACACCAGTTTCTGTGTTGTTGATATAGGCTCATCTGGCTCTAGCCCCACCCTAACTGTAGAGTAAAGTTGGACATCTCTGTATAAAGCCCACCGAAAATTTGCAAAAACACCTCATGATCAGTGAGCCATGAGCATTGATTTAGTATAATGCCTAGTTAACTGAGTGCGCTAGTGAGTTGGATTTTATGCCGCTTTTAGCAGTATTCCAGCAATATCATGTTGAGGGACACTAGGAATGTGCCAATGTGGGAATCGAACCTGTGCCTTTGGCGTGATGAGCCAACGCTTTAACCAATTCATCATGATCAATATTTATCAGTGTATACACCGTGTTATTATAAACTTGTGTTGAAAAACAAAGTGGATTTGTTATTTACTTTTAGTGGTACTTACAGTAGCTTTTATAATATTTCACTAGCCCTTTCAATATCAAAACATATTGGCCTTATATAAAATATGTATGTATGGCTTCAACATGTACCTCAAAATGTTGTTTTTGTGATGGAAAGAATTGATTTATTCCTGTTTATATGCTTGATGAAAATAGTCTTCGAACATAGCCAAGAAAAAAAAATGGTTTTGTTATTACATAGTTTCTGTATGTTCTTCATGATCTTACTCCGAAAATCATGTATTGTGTCATGAATGTAGTCATACTGAAAGTAGTTCTGGCAGAACTAGCTGGTTGAGTAAAGTTGGACATCTCTGTATAAAGCCAACCCCAAATTTGCAAAAACACCTCATGATCAGTGAGCCAAAAGCAGTGATTTAGTATAATGCATAGTTAACTGACTGTGTGAGTGAGTTGGATTTTATGCCGCTTTTAGCAGTATTCCAGGAATATCATGTTAGGGGACACCAGGAATGTGCCAATGTGGGAATCGAACCTGGGCCTTTGGCGTGATGAGCCAACGCTTTAACCAATTCATCATGATCAATATTTATCAGTGTATAGACCGTGTCAATATAAAATTGTGTTTATAAACAAAGTAGATTTGTTATTTACTTTTAGTGGTACTTACAGTAGCGTTTATAATATTTCTATAGCCCTTTCAATATCAAAACACAATGGCCTTTTTAAAGTAAAATATGTATGTATGGCTTCAACATGTACCTCAAAATGTTGTTTTTGTGATGGAAAGAATTGATTTATTCCTGTTTATATGCTTGATGAAAATAGTCTTCGAACATAGCCAAGAAAAAACAAATGTTCTAGTTATTACATAGTTTCTGTATGTTCTTCATGATCTTACTCTGAAAATCATGTATTGTGTCATGAATGTAGTCATACTGAAAGTAGTTCCGGCAGAAGGTGTTATTTTGCTTAAGTGAAATACTGATTTAAATTTTTCAGATTAATATGGTATTTCATCAGTAGATAATAACCTTTTTACAAGAAGTAAAATGTGAATGTTCCTTTTTGTGTTGTGTTTTAGAAGTTATAGTAATTATGACAATGGTACGTGATGAATGGTAAGCTGAACACTGCCATGGTGTATCGTTATGTAATTGGTAATGCTGTCCCATGTTTAATGTTGCAGAGTCATCGAGGCGGTGCCCGAGGGGGTCCTCCTGGACCGAACCCAGTTGGTACGTGGAGTTCTTATAGGCCTTTGGTAATTCACCGGGATTGTATGTCAAAGTACAATACATGGGCGGATACAGCTTTTTTGAAAAGGGGGGGGGGGGGGGGGTGCACAATTAAGATCTATTTATTGTCTTTGGTGGTAATTTATACAGAAATAAAGATTTCTTTCGAAATAAAAAGGGAGGGGTGCGCACCCCCGCACCCCACCTCTGTATCCGCCCATGCAATATTTCAGTGCACAGAAAATTAGTAGCGGCTAGTAAGGACTCTAAACCATTCTGGAGAATACCTCAACAGAGTAATATGTCTAGTGTCATTTCACAGTCAGTATCTAGTCAGCAGTGGGTGGATCACTTCATGTCACTCCTGTCTGTTGAACCAGTCAGAGTATTTGCTTCTGATTTTGATGATGATTTGCTTTCTTCTACACAAAGACCCACTGGAGAACTTGATCAACCAATCACTGATCAAGACGTTTTATCTACCGGTAATATACTGAATGCTGCAAATAACAAATCACCAGGACCAGATGGCGTGGCTGTTGAATTTTTTTAACTTCTAGGTACCTGACTGTACCATATCTTGCTCGCCATTTTAATCACATTCTTCATCGTGGTAGATTCCCCAGTTGCTGGGTTAAGGGTATTATATGCCCTCTCTTCAAGTCTGACTGTGAAAATGACCCCAGAAACTATAGAGGTATTTCTCTCAATCAATGGAAAGTATTTACGTCTATTTTGAACAACCATCTGCCGAATTGGCATGAGAATCATAATATTATTAATGAACAACAACCAGGTTTTAAGGCTCATTGCTCCACTGTTGAAAATATTGTTTCATTACAGGATATAGTTCAAATATACATTGATAAGAAGAGAGGCAGATTTTACTGCCTCTTCATTGACTTTTCCAAGGCATTTGCCAGTTCACATGCACAACATTTACTCACGTAAGTAATTTTGCATATGTGTAACTATACATACGTGTGTATAAGTAAATTTACTCTGCACTCACATGGAAATTAACTAATACCCTGTTCACATGCGCCTCGGTACATATGTGTGTATATATGCTGTGTGTGTAGAAATACATACATGGGTATACTTGTCATGTGAACGCGTTTACTCGTGTGTATAATAACACCAAGAGCAAATTTGCATCATGTCTGGAGCAGGTGCAAATGTAAATGTAAATTTGCACTGTGTGTTTATGTTGCAATGTGAACGTTTATGTCAACATTAAGAGGATGATCTAATTAATATCTGTTTTTTTGCTAACACCAAACAAATTGTCAACAGTTGCCAACTCTTTTGAGCGGACGGTGTTTTCTTTTGGTTTCATTGAGTCAAAACTTTGTGTACAAATTAAATCAAACAAATGTTGCTTCACGCGAACATTTTTAGTGAAGTAACTCTCTTCTCATTCAACTTTGATTGGAAAACAACCTGTTTTGTTTTGAAAGTCATGAACAGACTGACGAAGATGTGTTTCTTACACAGTTTACATACTATATTTATGTATGTGTGTATAGAGGCACATGTGAAACAGGTATAAGTGGTTTACCTGTAACATTGGCACCTGTTAAGGATGTGTTTAAGTCCACACATATTTATTATATTTATATACAAGTTAATTACCCTTATGGCCAGAGAGGGTGGCCAAGATATTACTGTTATCTCGTCTATGTGTAGGATAAAACATGTCAGGGGGTTTAAAATCTCATAAACCGATAACTTATAAACCGAAAAAAGAAACTTTAAACAACATTAAGCAACATTAGTATGTTTGAAACATACCTTCCATGAACCTTAGGAAACGGGCGTAAAATAGCAGTTGCTGGCGGACAGTGCTTGAAAAAGAAATTCTTTAAAACATTGTGATTTATTGGCGCCTCTGTAGCTTGGCGGTAGACTCAGTGGGCTCCAGATTCAAAGGTTGCGTGTTCGATTCGCGGGAATATAAATACATCATTTGTCATTTGATTTTACATGTCATTATATTACATGTTCAAATGCAAAATAAATTTCCAGTGAGAAACATTCATATATTTCAATATAAACGGAAGTTATATGTATAAAAATTCTTGGGATATTATTTAAAATCCTGGCGATATAACATTATAATGCAAATATCCCTGTTTATAAGATTTAACCTGCCTGGAGTACAATAGGATGATATCACTGGAGGTTTATAATTAGGATTTGTGTTCTCTCATGTTTGCTGATGATATCTCAGAAATATCTGACACCTGTACACAAGTGCAGAGCAAGATAACTTACTAGAAAGTTTTTGTAAACATACTGGCGTGAAAGTAGAAAAGTGGTCCCTTAAGGTCGTATGAAAAGTGGTTTTATGATGGTACATCTATAGAAACAGTATCTTTCTATAAATACCTGGGACCTTTTTTCACAATAGGCAACATATTTTGTTTATAATTATGAAAGGAGACTTTGTACCATCAGTTGTCCAGATCCATTTGAGATATTTCAGTGTATGATAAAACCTGTCCAATGGTTCTGAAATATGGGGCACGACTTATTGTAATACTATTTTAATCTGATCATATTAAGTTATTGTAAATCTAGTTTAAAGTTTGGTGGATTAATATGTAATAATATGGTTTAAGGGAATGTGGAAGAATGCCTTTGCAATTTGTATATTGACAAAGTCAATTAAGTATTGGTGCAGACTATCACATTCAGCAAACAATGGGTATCAAAACAATGTTATATTATGTTAAAACTTTGGATGGTGTAGGCCGTAATACCAGGGCAACACCAATAAGAGATACTCTGTTTAGATTTGGATTTGGATGTGTCTGGATTAGTCAGGAAATAGGAAAACAAGCGGCCTTTATTGCACTTTTTGAGCAAAGAGTTGTTTATTTGCCTCTTTCAATAAAGGTAGACACTTGTTCACTATCAATTTATGAACTTTGCAAAACGTACGTAATAGCTATTGGCGATTTCATCTGGGGATTATATATTATAGCTGTGAATTACATATATTTTTAGATACCTACATGTAAAGATTGTGGAGTTTATGAAGAACAATAAACTTTGAACATTCAATTGAAAACTTATTATCGGAAGTACTAACATGCATGACATTTTTTTAATAATGACAACATTGGTGTATAATAATAACGTTATTGATAATTTATAACAATAATGGCTCTAGTCGTGGCAACTTCCAAACTTTCGGGAAATTGTAATCTATCGGACCGTCATTCAGGCGATGTTTCTGACAGATCACGATCTGAAAAATACTATCATGAAAGTGTATCCCGTGGATAAGCCGACCCCTTTCTACAGAATCTTTTTTCTGGTCCTCAAAATTCGGCTTATACGCGGTCATATTATACTGTACATGATAATCTCTTTCAGTAATGGCAAGGCTGCTTACATGCAAATCAGAAGTGGTTTTTTTTCAACTTTTAATATTGAAAAGTATTCAAGCATAGGTGTCCTTCCTCAACATTTGAGAGTATCCTATTCCAGATAAGATGTTGCAATTTCAAGCTTGCTGATGAGACTGATATTAAAACATAATTTATTATGAAAGATGTTGTATGTCATGCAAGCTTAAAGGCTATTTTGCTGTTGAAGATGAATTGCACATCATCTATGTATGAGACTCCTACTCTAAATTGAGAAACAAACCCATGAAGCTCTGGGTTAGAATTGGTCTTCAGCAACCCATGCTTAAGAGGCGACTAACGGGATGGGGTGGACAGGCTCGCTGACTTAGTTGATGCATGTCATCGTATCCCAATGGCATGGATCGATGCTCACTCTGTCAATCACTCGATTGTCTAGCCCAGACTCAATTATTTACAGACCGCCATCATATAGCTGGAATATCACTGAGTGTGTTAAGCAACAAAGAAATAAAGAATTGAGAAACAAGTTCATTGTAATATATTTTAGTAAATATCCTTCAATTAACCATTTTATTTCTATCATGCAGACAGAGTAAGACCATTGATGTTATCACAAATGTCAGTCTATCATGTATCATGTAAATATAAAAAGAAACACCAAATTGTAATCTTTTCAAATTGTAATTGTATGTAATTTTGAGCCAGAGGCCTCACGGAAATAAAACTGTCTGTCTGTCTGTCTGTCTGTCTGTCTGTCTGTCTGTCTGTCCAAGTGAAATTGGTGTGCTTTTTATGTGTTTATTAACTTTTCAGAAACCTTGATGTTTCTCATGTTTATCTCGTTTATGCCATTTGGATAAACAATGTTTTCTTTTTATGAAAACATGGCAAAATGTAATTGGGAACAATCTTCTGCTTAGAAAGCATGACATCTAGCAAGATGAAATGTGGGTGTGATGTGTAGCATGATAATGAGAGTCCTAGACAAGTTTTAAAGGGAAATGTCACACCTCATCCCTTCAGCAGTCGTTGTGTACATCAAACATTATCTTGCAGTGTTAAATTTCAGAGTTCAACTTTGTGTCCACAGATCAGGACTGCTCTGGGATACAGATAGGCGATGGTAACACGGTGAACGTGATGAACGTACCGGGCGGAATGCAGACAAGAAGTCAAGCTCGGGCAGCAGCAGGGGCACCCAAAGTGAAAGTGAAGACACCAAAACGACCTCTGTCCAGTTAGTAAACAGCAGGGGGATTACTGGGGCATGTAACTGAGACACTGGGCCCCGTCTCATAAAGCGATCTTAGTGCTAGGTTGATCGTAAGCCTATGATAAAGTATGGGAGTTACGACCAACTTAGCACTAAGATCTCTTTGTGGAACAGGGCCCAGGGCATATTCTGGTTGGGATATAGGGAAGCTGGAATTGTGTTAATAGACACTGTTTCAAAATATACATTTGTTCCCATTCAAAGGAGGAGCCAAAATAATATATATAAAATATTTTAAATCCTAATTTTTTCAGAACACCCAGCATGTTCAGTGAACAAAGTTTGTTTTGACGAACCCGAGGCAAAATTGTTTTAAGCCATATTTTCTATGATTAGTTTGTTTTTTTAATAACACGCAGGAATGACAATTAAACCAGTCCTATGGCTGAAGCTATTGCCTAATGTGTCAGTAAGTCTGTTGTGTCCTAAATATGTGACAAATGGCCAGTGTAAGATTTTCAGGTGAGCTTTTTAATAGATTATGTATTTAACATGTTTAATGTCCCAAATGAACAGTTTATACAAGGAACGAACCTAGTCATTGGAACATCTTCAAAAGTTTTGATGTTGAATAATGATTACGGTAGAGTATATTCCTAAGAGGCATACATATATAGAACTGTAAATGCTTATAATGACCTTTTTAAACAAATTATCAGCTAAAGAAAACTGATTTGATACATAAGGCAAACATAAACCAGTATCAATCTATCAATCCTACTCATCAGCGGTGAATGAAACAGTCAGTCACTATCGGGAGTGAATCAAACACTCAGTCACCATCAGCAGTGAGTCAAACACTCAGTCACCATCGGCAGTGAATCAAACACTCAGCCAACATCACGCAGTGAATCAAACACTCAGTCAACATCACACAGTGAATCAAACAGTCAGTCACCATCGGCAGTGAATCAAACACTCAGTCAACATCACGCAGTGAATCAAACAGTCAGTCACCATCACGCAGTGAATCAAACAGTCAGTCACCATCAGCAGTGAATCAAACACTCAGTCAACATCACACAGTCAATTAAACACTCAGTCACCATCAGCAGTGAATCAAACAGTCAGTCACCATCAGCAGTGAATCAAACACTCAGTCAACATCAAGCAGTGAATCAAACAGTCAGTCACCATCACGCAGTGAATCAAACAGTCAGTCACCATCAGCAGTGAATCAAACACTCAGCCAACATCACGCAGTGAATCAAACACTCAGTCAACATCACACAGTGAATCAAACAGTCAGTCACCATCAGCAGTGAATCAAACACTCAGTCACCATCAGCAGTGAATCAAACACTCAGTCAACATCACACAGTGAATCAAACAGTCAGTCACCATCGGCACTGAATCAAACACTCAGTCAACATCACGCAGTGAATCAAACAGTCAGTCACCATCAGCAGTGAATCAAACACTCAGTCAACATCACGCAGTGAATCAAACACTCAGTCAACATCACACAGTGAATCAAACAGTCACCATCAGCAGTGAATCAAACACTCAGTCAACATCACGCAGTGAATCAAACACTCAGTCAACATCACACAGTGAATCAAACTGTCAGTCACCATCAGCAGTGAATCAAACACTCAGTCACCATCAGCAGTGAATCAAACACTCAGTCAACATCACACAGTGAATCAAACAGTCAGTCACCATCGGCACTGAATGAAACACTCAGTCAACATCACGCAGTGAATCAAACAGTCAGTCACCATCGGCAGTGAATCAAACACTCAGTCAACATCACGCAGTGAATCAAACACTCAGTCAACATCACACAGTGAATCAAACAGTCAGTCACCATCAGCAGTGAATCAAACACTCAGTCACCATCAGCAGTGAATCAAACACTCAGTCAACATCACACAGTGAATCAAACAGTCAGTCACCATCGGCACTGAATCAAACACTCAGTCAACATCACGCAGTGAATCAAACAGTCAGTCACCATCAGCAGTGAATCAAACACTCAGTCAACATCACGCAGTGAATCAAACACTCAGTCAACATCACACAGTGAATCAAACAGTCACCATCAGCAGTGAATCAAACACTCAGTCAACATCACGCAGTGAATCAAACACTCAGTCAACATCACACAGTGAATCAAACTGTCAGTCACCATCAGCAGTGAATCAAACACTCAGTCACCATCAGCAGTGAATCAAACACTCAGTCAACATCACACAGTGAATCAAACAGTCAGTCACCATCGGCACTGAATGAAACACTCAGTCAACATCACGCAGTGAATCAAACAGTCAGTCACCATCAGCAGTGAATCAAACAGTCAGTCACCATCGGCAGTGAATCAGTCAGTCACCATCAGCGGTGAATCAACCAGTCAGCCACCATTGTTACGTGTTGATTCCCAAATTGAAACAATATGTTTATCCAGAAATCTGTACATAAAAGAACTTAGTTTGAAACCAACAAACAACCAACAAGTGGTATGCAATCACAATCAACAAATGTATTACAAAATTCACTAAGTTTACAAATCAATACAAATTACTGTACCGCAATTACAATGGCAGTAAACAGTAGAGTGGTAGTACAATATTTAATGCAATAAATAATATGATGGCAGTGGTCACTATCAAGTGCAAAATTACAGTGATGATAACAAAACTCAGTGCTTCCAAGATGGCCTTGACAGGGAATCAGGGATGATGAGCAAGCCTCACTTGAAAGCTGGTTCCAAAGCAATGAAAATGTGTGTGAGTCGAAATGTGTGAGAGATAATGTGTGAGACATATGCAAACACACAATATATACAGTCAATATTCTTTATTCATTTCATACTGTAGGCCATCGACCCATTTTACATTTAGATAGTCAGGTCCTCAATGGACATTAAATATATACAGTCCAACTTGCTTCCAGAACACCGCAGAATATTCCATACCACTCCACGGTATTCTGGAAGTTTACACACCAAACTAGTGTCTAAGTATAGAAACTTCCAGATGACTGCTTAGATTAAATGACACTACATTTCAGCCAACTAATCACTGCCCAAATACAACGCAATGAGCATATACCGAATCTCCACAGAAACAATGTAACAGTGTCACAATCATTGTGAAACAATACAATACATTATCATAATTCACCATCAGAAGTGAATCAAATATAATTACACACAGTCAAGCTTTCGGCCTCCCGGCCTTCATCAGGCACACTCGGTTGGTTTTGTACTACATCATTCGAGTTCCTTTTCAACCATTGCTGTAACTGACTTGAGCTATGACTTCATTACTAACAGTGACTTCAAAGCTATTGTACATTGTGACATCGTGATAGGTTTGACGTCATGGCAACTCCTGTCTCTGTACAAGCAGTTCTTCACATGCTGAGGGAAGGGATGTCTTCCTATTAAGGCCTTTTGGGTGTTCTATCCTGGGGCGTTCTCTCCACCTGTTTTCTATTATATATCCATAAGTTCTACCTGTCTCACAGATCCTTTCAATTATCAGGACAAAAACGTCCCTAGGTGTTTGTTATAACCACGTTTTACTTTTATTTTAATCAGCGTCAGGCAGACCTTTGGAGTTTGTTATACCGGTAACCATGTTTCACTGTTATCTTACTCAGGGTCTGAAAGTCCCTTGGAGTTTGTTGAAACCATGTTTTTCTGTAATCCTTCAAGAGTCGGAAAGTCCCTCAGAGTTTGTTGTAACCATGTTTTCCTGTAATCCTTCAAGAGTAGGAAAGTCCCTTGGAGTTTGTCATAACCATGTTTTCCTGTAATCCTTCAAGAGTAGGAAAGTCCCTTGGAGTTTGTCATAACCATGTTTTCCTGTAATCCTTCAAGAGTAGGAAAGTCCCTTGGAGTTTGTTGTAACCATGTTTTCCTGTAATCCTTCAAGAGTTGGAAAGTCCCTTGGAGTTTGTCATAACCATGTTTTCCTGTAATCCTTCAAGAGAAGGAAAGTCCCTCAGAGTTTGTTATAACCATGTTTTCCTGTAATCCTTCAAGAGTAGGAAAGTCCCTTGGAGTTTGTTGTAACCATGTTTTCCTGTAATCCTTCAAGAGTCGGAAAGTCCCTTGGAGTTTGTTATAACCATGTTTTCCTGTAATCCTTCAAGAGTTGGAAAGTCCCTTGGAGTTTGTCATAACCATGTTTTCCTGTAATCCTTCAAGAGAAGGAAAGTCCCTCAGAGTTTGTTGTAACCATGTTTTCCTGTAATCCGTCAAGAGTAGGAAAGTCCCTTGGAGTTTGTTGTAACCATGTTTTCCTGTAATCCTTCAAGAGTCGGAAAGTCCCTTGGAGTTTGCTATAACCATGTTTTCCTGTAATCCCTCAAATTTGGAAAGTCCCTTGGAGTTTGTTGTAACCATGTTTTCCTGTAATCCTTCAAAAGTAGGAAAGTCCCTCAGAGTTTGTTGTAACCATGTTTTCCTGTAATCCTTCAAGAGTTGGAAAGTCCCTTGGAGTTTGTCATAACCATGTTTTCCTGTAATCCTTCAAGAGTCGGAAAGTCCCTTGGAGTTTGTTGTAACCATGTTTTCCTGTAATCCTTCAAGAGTAGGAAAGTCCCTTGGAGTTTGTTGTAACCGTGTTTTCCTGTAATTCTTCAAGATTTGGAAAGTCCTTTGGAGTTTGTTATAATCGTGTTTTCCTGTAATCCTTCAAGAGTTGGAAAGTCCCTTGGAGTTTGTTATAACCATGTTTTCCTGTAATCCTTCAAGAGTAGGAAAGTCCCTTGGAGTTTGTTGTAACCATGTTTTCCTGTAATCCTTCAAGAGTCGGAAAGTCCCTTGGAGTTTGTTATAATCGTGTTTTCCTGTAATCCTTCAAGAGTAGGAAAGTCCCTTGGAGTTTGTTATAACCATGTTTTCCAGTAATCCTCCAAGAGTCGGAAAGTCCCTTGGAGTTTGTTGTAACCATGTTTTCCTGTAATCCTTCAAGAGTAGAAAAGTCCCTTGGAGTTTGTTATAACCATGTTTTCCTGTAATCCTTCAAGAGTAGGAAAGTCCCTCAGAGTTTGTTGTAACCATGTTTTCCTGTAATCCTTCAAGAGTCGGAAAGTCCCTTGGAGTTTGTTGTAAGCATGTTTTCCTGTAATCCTTCAAGAGTTGGAAAGTCCCTTGGAGTTTGTTGTAACCGTGTTTTCCTGTAATCCTTCAAGAGTAGGAAAGTCCCTTGGAGTTGTTTATAATGGTGTTTTCCTGTAATCCTTCAAGAGTAGGAAAGTCCCTTGGAGTTTGTTGTAACCATGTTTTCCTGTAATCCTTCAAGAGTAGAAAGTCCCTTGGAGTTTTTTGTAACCATGTTTTCCTGTAATCCTTCAAGAGTAGGAAAGTCCCTTGGAGTTTGTTGTAACCGTGTTTTCCTGTAATCCTTCAAGAGTTGGAAAATTCCTTGGCGTTTGTTGTACCCATGTTTTCCTGTAATCCTTCAACAGTAGGAAAGTCCCTTGGAGTTTGTCATAACCATGTTTTCCTGTAATCCTTCAAGAGTCGGAAAGTTCCTTGGCGTTTGTTATAACCGTGTTTTCCTGTAATCCTTCAAGAGTAGGAAAGTTCCTTGGCGTTTGTTATAACCATGTTTTCCTGTAATCCTTCAAGAGTAGGAAAGTCCCTTGGAGTTTGTTGTAACCATGTTTTCCTGTAATCCTTCAAGAGTAGGAAAGTCCCTTGGAGTTTGTTATAACCATGTTTTCCTGTAATCCTTCAAGAGTAGGAAAGTCCTTCAGAGTTTGTTATAACCATGTTTTCCTGTAATCCTTCAAGAGTAGGAAAGTCCCTTGGAGTTTGTTGTAACCATGTTTTCCTGTAATCCATCAAGAGTCGGAAAGTCCCTTTGAGTTTGTTGTAACTGTGTTTTCCTGTAATACTTCAAGAGTATGAAAGTCCCTTGGAGTTTGTTATAACCATGTTTTCCTGTAATCCTTCAAGAGTAGGAAAGTCCCTCAGAGTTTGTTGTAACCATGTTTTCCTGTAATCCTTCAAGAGTAGGAAAGTCTCTTGGAGTTTGTTGTAACCATGTTTTCCTGTAATCCTTCAAGAGTCGGAAAGTCCCTTGGAGTTTGTTGTAACCATGTTTTCCTGTAATCCTTCAAGAGTAGGAAAGTCCCTTGGAATTTGTTGTAACCATGTTTTCCTGTAATCCTTCAAGAGTTGGAAAGTCCCTTGGAGTTTGTCATAACCATGTTTTCCTGTAATCCTTCAAGAGTCGGAAAGTCCCTTGGAGTTTGTTATAACCATGTTTTCCTGTAATCCTTCAAGAGTAGGAAAGTCCCTTGGAGTTTGTTATAACCATGTTTTCCAGTATTCCTTCAAGAGTCGGAAAGTCCCTTGGAGTTTATTGTAACCATGTTTTCCTGTAATCCTTCAAGAGTAGAAAAGTCCCTTGGAGTTTGTTATAACCATGTTTTCCTGTAATCCTTCAAGAGTAGGAAAGTCCCTTGGAATTTGTTGTAACCATGTTTTCCTGTAATCCTTCAAGAGTTGGAAAGTCCCTTGGAGTTTGTTGTAACCGTGTTTTCCTGTAATCCTTCAAGAGTAGGAAAGTCCCTCAGAGTTTGTTGTAACCATGTTTTCCTGTAATCCTTCAAGAGTCGGAAAGTCCCTTGGAGTTTGTTGTAACCATGTTTTCCTGTAATCCTTCAAGAGTTGGAAAGTCCCTTGGAGTTTGTTGTAACCATGTTTTCCTGTAATCCTTGCAGAGTCTGAAAATGAGCCCACGAGTGAGCAGATGGAGAATGTGTGCAAAAAACTGGCTAAGTACAAAGACACGGCATGGAAGGACCTAGGGACCCAGCTAGGCCTGACCACTTGGGAACTGGAGACGATCCACCATGACCACCACATAGAAGGGGACCGCGAGCTGAGCTACCAGACCCTATTGGTGTGGAAAAGACGCCAGCCCACCCCTCCACAAGTCAAGGTTTTAGCTAAAGCACTCTGTGATATTGGTAGAGGAGACCTCTCTGACACTTTGACATAATCAGGATTTGTATCTGGATAAGCAAATGTTTATTCATTTTTTTAATGTTTATCCTACGTCGAAAGTCCATTGATAGGTGTGTAATTTTCCAAGTGGGATGGAAATGGGGCTTTGCCATCTTCACAATGAATTTTGTCGCTTTCAAAAGGATTAATCTATTATACAACACTGTACTTAATTTAAATTTCATAACTTACATTTGCAAAAACACAAATGACCAGCAACTGAGTTTTGTTTAAATTTCATAACCCCAAGGGTTGCGTTGTACATCGTGATCTTAACGCTAAGGTTATCGTAACTCTCATACCTCCCATACGTAGCGCTAAGGTGATCGTAACTCCCTACCTTCCATTACATAGTGCTAAGGTGATCATAACTCCCATTCAAAGCACTAAGATGATCATAACTTTACCAAGTTTTCCTATAATAATTAGATCCACATCAAGTGCTTTTATGAGTTATCATGGTGTAATATTAATACATCATGATAGCTCATAAGAGCACTTCTAATTATTATAGGAAAACTTAGTATAAATGTCATATCATGATAACTCCCTTACCTCCCACACATAGCGCTAAGGTGATCATAACTCCCTACCTCCCATACGTAGTGCTAAGGTGATTGTGAGTCGGATACTTTCCATAGGTAGTGCTAAGGTGATCGTAACTCCCATACGCAGTGCTAAGGTGATCATAAGTCATCCATCACTTGGAGCAGATGATGTAGACTTACATTCGTCGTTCCATCTTCCATCCATCCAACTTCAAATGCGATAAGTTTTCTCTGAAACCACTATGGATTCAATGATGACAGTTTCATACATCATACACTCTAGATGACATATTGAATTCATCATTAAGTGATGAATATGTTGTCATGTTTGAAAACCGCCATCAAGAATTAGTGTTTAGCACCCTTTTGTTTGCTTTTGCTCAAATGAGGTAACGGTGCGTTTCAAGAACATAACATATAAACCGTTTCATATATCTTCATGAGACTCTGTTTACACATCCGGCATTTGCTGAACTAGTGACTTTGATGTTCTGGAATTTTTTTTTAAGTTTCAAAGTTCAAATTGGGGTCCCTTTTTGTGGTGTAAAACATTTCATTATTTCTCCATGAAACTTTGCAATGTATTATACTAGGTAGGACTGGTGCCTATTTTCACAGAAATTGAAACTATTAAATACAATTGTGAACATGCAAAGATGGTGGCGGATATGAATGACTTTGTCTTCTTGTTGTCCTCGATTTGTCAACATTTAGGCTTGTGTAGCGGCCATAAACTTTCTGAGTCTGTGATGGGATCGGACCATCTGATCCAAGGTCGGACGCCTTGTCCGCATGACCAAAGGGTTTAACCCCATCAGCAGGCTGACAAGATAAGGATGTCATCTGTGAGATGACTCTATGCCCTGCTACATACTCCCACGTCAACAGAAGGTACTGAGGCTTATTTTGCTCAAATGTAATATTAACTTGCTCAGACCCACGTTGGGCGCCAATGTAGCGGCCACAAAATTTTCGAGTCCCAAGGATTTGAAACACGGACCTTCTGATCTGAGGTTGGACGCTTTGTCCACATGAAATAGATGTTAACCCCTTCAGCATGCTGACAAGGTGCGGATGTCATCTGTGGGATGACTCCATGCCCTGCTACACTTCTATAGCATCCTCCAACTCCCCGAACCCTCTAACTTTTGGCCATCAGCAGCTTGTTGCAGACTTGGCTCAGGTCTGTGATCTCATGAAGATGAACTGGTAAGTATCCAGTGGCAACATTACACTGTTTGCTTTTTGTGTTGTGAGTACGAGTTATTGGTTTCCCATTGTTTGAATCCCCAGGGACCATATCCGTATAGGGTCTCCGGAATCCCTAATGCTTACAGATGGTCAACTGTGGTCAGTTTCGCATAATCATTGTAAAGATCTAATAGATTTATCATCCATAAAAACCCATTCCAAGTGTTCTGTCTATTTTCCAAAAATAACAGAAACATGAAGATCATCATAATTTTTGTAAAATTCATTGATATCAGCCTGTGATAGTGTTTGAGTCCCTATTTGTTTGCTTGGGTCATTAAATGACAGCTGGCAAATTAGTTCTGTATGTATTTGTAACTCACATGGATTTGTAGAGGTTGAACATAACCTTGCTTGAAAAGGTTTGTCAGTGTTCCCGTTTAGGTTAAGACCAGTAATTCATGTGACTGTCAGTCCCTGTGGAATCGTTGTTGCTGAACAAAATATCGGTGATATTCATAAAGTACATTTTTCTAACAAATTCAGCTTGTCTGTTACCATCAGGGTTTCCCCTTGTCTATTTCTAGGTTAAATATCCATTTGTAGCGACTTCGTCTTAAAATATGATAAAAAAAAGAAGAGAAATTTGTGACTGAAGTTTGTGTGAATGACGTATAGATCTAACTAAGTTACTTCAAAATGACATCTTTGCACTGAACATGATGTTGAAAGAATTAAAACCAAATAATTTCCATGCGTTTTTATATTTGTTGAAAGTTGGGACTGGCAAAAATTAGGGGGGACTGGTAATTTTTAGAGTTGCCTGTCCACAAGGACTGGCAGTTTCAAAAGCCAGCGGGAACACTGTTTGTGTGTGTTGAGATTAATGTCCTGGTGCATGGGGTCAGTTGTCCACTGGTTGTAGACTGGAATGGATTGAACAACCTGGACTCTCCAACAAAGCTTTGTTTCAGGAGTGATGTCCCAATCTCTATCATTTCCACCGCTAACCTATCACATCATGTCTAGCCCATGAGAGAACTTTGATTGGATGGCTAGTTCTAGCATCATGTCATAATGAAGCGACTTAAAGGTAGCAAATAAGCTCAGGGTATTTATCATCACAGAATTGAGATATAATACAGCTGGAATCGTGAGACCTTCCTTTTTTGTATACTTGTAGTCAAACATGACATTGTATATTGTCAAATTGTTCATGTGCCATTAGCGGTATGCACATTTTGTAACTCTGCCTCCATCCGTGAAGATTAGCTCCCTTTCCTTGTCTCATCCATGGCAGTTCAATAAACACCGGTTCCAATGCTGGATGGTTGAGTGACCTCCGTGGTCAGTACTGGCGATGTACGTACTTAGCATCATTTTTCAAGGGTCACCTAGGTATGTAGTGTCAAACATGAACATATGCCAACAAGTGTCCATAATTCTGAGCATGTTGTAAATATGATTAACAGTTGAAGAACACATTGTTTATGCCTGTGTCACAGTGATAGGATGCTTTCATGAAACCGGAATAATGGACGACTATTAAAAACAATAAAAAATGCAAGACTGAAGGTGATAAAAAAAGTTACGCAAAACACAATCCTGTATTCTAATGTCTATTTGAAAGAGTTGAGTCCCAAGATATACCCTGATTTTGTTTCTAGGTTTGTCAGCACCATACCCGTGCTCGTGGGTTTCACCAAAATGGTAAACGTCTGAGACCTGCATCACTTCAGGCTTTCCTCCCACAGTAAGCTGACACGCTGTGATATAACTGGAATACTGTTAAAAGCGATGTTAAACCCAACTCACTAACTAACTCTGGTTGTCTCACTTCTCTTCGGCTTGTCAAGGTAATTGAAAGGACACAGGTGGCCCAGTGGCCTCTGGATAGGAACTTGCCTGCTGTGCAAAGTAACATCCCTAAGCAGTGTCAGGATCTGGTCTGATCTCAGCTGACATCCCATGATATTACTGATATTTTTCAAAGAGACATTAACCCAAATGGTCTAGTTTCTGATGTCAGTAAGCATAGGAAGCATTGATACATGTGTTGAAGACTTCTTGACCAGTGGAATCAGTATTTGTTTTGTTATATTGTGTAATTATTAGCTTTAAAAGTACATGCATAAAAATGCTTTAACAAAGTACTGATTGTTAATTTCTAGCTGGTATATTGTTGCATCCAATTGGGAGTGTAATTCTGACTTTGTTTCTGATGTCAATACTCAGTGGGCATGGGGGCCCAGTCATCCAAGGCACCACATTTTGCGGTGCAGAGTTGCAGCCCTTGGTCAGGCCAGAAATATGATTGTGGGTTCGAATCCCAGTTTGCCCCGCCGATTATGTTTCCGAGTTTGTCAGCACCATGACCATGCTCGTATTAAAAGACTGAAATCTGCATCACTTCAGGCTTTCCTCCCTCATTAAGTTGAGATGTTGTGATATAACTGGAAAACTGTTCAAAGCAGTGTTAATCCCAACTTACTGATTCACTCCAATGAAGAATTGATATGTGCCAGTGAAGCCAGTATGTTCAGTTGTTTTTTTTGTTATTCTTTGCTTTAAAAGTGCTTGTTTAAAATGCTTCAACAAAGTATTGTTTGTTTGTTCATTTTTCCTCCTGAAAGGATCTACTGGACACATGGTTAGGCCACAAATACAGATTACCTGGAATGTTGCATTGACAGTTTTGTCTGTGTATCCATAATTCATATTTCAGCATCTCTGAAACTAATCAGTGGGACTGGCCGATCCGGGGTAGAATAGGTCTTCAGCAAACTCATACTTGCCGTAAAAGGCGTCTATGATTGTCGTAAGAGGCAACAAACGGGATCGGGTGATCAGGCTCGCTGACTTGGTTGAAACATGTCATTGATCCCAATTGCGTAATCCGAGGATCATTATATTAATCACTGGCTTGTCTGGGCGTATTGCTAGCAGTCGGCGGTGAACGTTGTGCGCCTTCTACTGGTTGCATACGGTTCTGCCACTAATCGTCTCAACCCAGAAATTGTCTGTGATGTTAATATGGCAGTTCGGTATCGATTCCGAAGATGATCCAACCGAATAGGGTTGTCTTGTTGACGTGACGTCACACGTGGACGACCGGCCCGTGGCATGAGTGTTATCCTGCTGTAGGTAACGTCGCCAAAGAGGTGATATTGTATTTTGATGCACGATTGCGTAAGCGTTGTTTAGGATTAAACAAAAGTGATTTTATGAGCACATGGTAGCTAAACAATCACGTTTGTGAGTATCATGCTCAGAACATACACGCAAACATGCAAATTGTGAATCACGACCTTAAAATCGAGATATCTTCATGAATATGTGTTGAAAGATTCATTATTTATTTTGAGAATAATCTTTTTTATTGAACTTTGTAGAGGCATAGTTAATTTTTCCATTCGTATTTTAAAAAGGTTGGTGACATCGTTATCATATTGTTTTTCATTTAATGAAACATTTACTGAATATTTTGTTGCCTTTGCGGCAAATTGTCGCTTCTGTCAGCTTGGATATATGTAATTGGAAGAGAATTAAAAGGGCATTCATTCATATGGGAGGTAGCTTCACAATGTTAGAGTCCCAGTAAACAGGAACCGAATACCGTGGAGGGTGTCTCCAGTACATAGTGTTAACAGGGGAGGGTGTCATCTGTAAAGGGTGTCACAAACATGGCGTCATGAATGGTACGTGGTGTCATCAGTTCACGAAGTTAACTGTTAACAGGATGCCATCAGTTCACGAAGTTAACTGTTAACAGGGTGCCATCAGTTCACGATGTTAACAGTTAACTGTTAACAGGATGCCATCAGTTCACGAAGTTAACTGTTAACAGGGTGCCATCAGTTCACGATGTTAACTGTTAACAGGATACCATCAGTTCACGAAGTTAACAGGGTGCCATCAGTTCAGGGTCCATCAGAGGTTTGGTCTGATACACAATATACCGCAGCGTTTCAAAACATTGAACAAACAAACAAAAATGCCTTTTTAACAAATTTATTTATAATTATGCATTATCATCTATTTAGTTTTGGCTGTATATAACATTGTATAAATGAACATGACATAATCGGAAATATGAACAAGAAACACGAAACGCTCGGCGAAACAGTGTCTTCTCTACCCTGTGAAAACAAAATCCGACTCAACAAAAGAGATATTACACTCGAGCCGTTAGGGGTAGACGATTATATCAAGAAACCGCCAGCCATGCATACACTGTATAGTCACGTCTTACATTTATAGACACACCGTGTCACTAATTATGACCCTTCGCAATATTACACCTGTAACGTATACACGTACTTCACGTTCACCTTTCTCATAAATTGATTCTGTTTACGACAGATTGACAGAAATCAACAGAAACAAATATATCGTGATGGAGATACTTTTCTAAAGACGCATCAGTCAGTGACATTAGGCAAACATACATAACACTGGAGTTTCGGCCTACAGTCATACCTGTGTGGGATGGAATTACTTTCAATAGAAATATAATAACATATGCCACTTTTTAGAATTATCCTTCGTTTAATGTTACAAGAATACATTTTAAGACCCTTTCCATATAAGAGTAAATATACTAGTATATCGTTTAATAAGGATGAATGAATGTCCATGTTGATACTATTCCTTACATTTGGTGTGAAATTAATTATATAATTTCCGATCAGCAAAAGTAAACTAACAAGTTTTCGGGTTCAAGAACGTAAAGCCTGTTTGAAGTAATATATGATAAAAAACATAATATATCAATGCTTATGGAGAAACGATAAAAAATTAAATGAATTTACTCCTCTTATAACTTCATTAATACAGGGTAATATGAGGCATATGTTACAGAGACCTGTAACAACATCTAAACTGCCCCACTTCCGGTTGAGGAAATGTAAGCGGATATACTCCGTGGACCTCGTTCGACCATGCGTGTTGGTGCTTCATTCGGCTCATTCCTCTACCTATACATCGAACTCGGACATCAGTGGAGAGGAGACATTACATCTTACCCTTACCCTTTTACCGCCCGATCTCACCACATAAAGATCGTTGTACATTAGATCGTTTTTCAAAAGTTTGTTATGATCATAAGCAGAGACCGATACCGATGTGGTGTATGTTCCCTGTTATAAGAAATTAAGGAAACACTTTGATTAACAAAAAATAAATAGGAACAGTTTTAACATGTACTTATACGTTAAAGTTCAACTGACGCCAGACTGTTTCGTCATATGATAGCCACGTTGATTCCCCGAGAGCTGGCAGAGATGATGATGACCTGTGCGAGACGTGCCGAATGGTGCTTACAGTCGGGTTGTCTCCCTTGTATTGATAACAGTTCACGCTATAAATACCAGTGGAAAAAACAGTTGAAGTTAAGCACTATTTCTTGGAGGTCGAGAGATTATAATTTCTCAGTCTATCACTGAAACCAAATTCCTTGCAAACACTGCCCGTATAAATATAATGTCCCATGATCTGAAGTAGTATTTGCCTATTTGTTGACGACATCCACGGGCAGTGTAAGGCTGACGCCTTCAGAGGCTGCAATAAAATTTGGTACCCAAAGGTTGTTTTATTCGATTGTTTAATGTGCGTCAGCCTCGATCTCGATCTCCCCTACGCCAGTGACGTCACACATTTGTTTGCTGTAGAAGTTGGCGATTATCTCTTTCCGGCCGAGTCTTCTGGCAGACGACATTTTGATGGTTTCCCTATGCTCATCACCGGGGGCGATATTCTTCCTAAAAAGCGAAATAATACAACAGTCATTATCCATGACAGATATCGTAACATTTTTAATTGCTACTTAATATTGCCATTTGATCTGAATAGATTATAAGACGGGTCCATTCAAATGGGCGAAATACATGTTGCATGTTCATATCATACGCTATGATGGCATCTCCCCTAATAATCAGAATGGACTGTCCTGCACAGCGGGAGTCACCCACGGAAACGTATCCAAATGAATGTTAAACGTCCCCGTGGGAATTCCAGGTTACAATTGCTACCCATCAACCTATGCTTGTCGTAAGATTAGTTGGTTGTTTTTTTTTAACTCCGCCCTCAGCAATATTCCAGCTATATGACGGCGGTCTGTAAATAATCGAGTAAGGACCAGAGAATCCAGTGATTGATATCATGGGTATCGATCCATGCCATTGGGATCGATGACATGCATCAACCAAGTCAGCGAGCCTGACCACCCGATTCCGTTAGTCGCCTCTTGTCGCCAAGCATGGGTTGCTGAAGACCTATTCTTCCCCGGATCTACACGGGCCGCTTGTCGTAAGAGGCGACTGACAGTGAGACTCAGTGTCTTGTTTCATTCTATGTCATCGTACCCCGACGTCGTGGGACGTTGCTCATTATATCAGTCACTGAACTATCTGATCCAGACTCGGATCATTTTCAGACAGCTGTCGAGTGAAATATTGCCGAGTGTCGCGTTAAACAACTAGTAACTGTAGTCTTCCTTGCCCTACCGTCGATTCAATTAGATTACAAGTATATACCTCGTGAATATCTCGTGAATATCTCGTAAAAATCCTTGTGATTAGACCCGCGGAGATCCTGGTAAGAATTGGTCTTCAGCGAGCCATGCTTTGTCATAAGAGGTGACAATGTTAGTCGTTAGATTGTCAGATCAAGACTCGGATTATTTACAGACCGCTGTCATATAGCTGGAGTGCGGCGTTAAACAACAAACAAACGAACTAAGTGACTATGATTATCCGCGTACTTACTTTATTTTGAACACAATTTATGGATAACAACTTCTTTAATACTGTAAAGGCGGCGTTTCGGTATAGATCCTTATACCGTTGTCAAGCAAGACTATGTTAGTCCAAGGATCTAAACCGAAACGTCGCCTTTACAGTATTAAAGAAGTTGTTATCCATAAATTGTGTCTACTTTGTCATTCGTCAACTTCTAAGTAATGCCTGTCTAACAATTCATACTTTATTTTGATGCCGGATATCCTTGGCATGCCGGGCCCCTCAATGTTGATGACTCCGCCCGTCAGTGGAAGGGACAGCGTGTTGACGATCTTGACGACGACGTCAAACGGCTTACCCAGCTGAGCATGGCCCTCCGTCTGTGGAGACAGAATGTTCCGCATACAAATTGAACAATGAAAGCAAATGAAGACTACATTCGACACAGTCAGTTCCCCTTGTGTATGGCGAGGGCGAGATTTTCAAATTTAAACTGGCCATCTCATGTCATGAAAAAATATATTATATTTACGTCATCTCATTCACATCATACAGTGCATTTTGAACTGTATTAACTTTGGTGATAAAATGACACCAGAATCTAATTGTTTTAATATAAACAGATATTTGGTAACGACATGAACATGTCTAATTTAACTATACACTCGGTAAACCTTTGTTGTTTTTGCAAAATATTATCCTTGTTTAATCATTTTTTATCACATACCCAAACAAACAAAAACAAAACACACACGCACTTTAAGCTTGTCGTTTTCTTCGCAAAAGTGTTACATAAATATAATTCAATTTTACTTCATCATATGGCGATATGGCTTCAAAGAATGCCACGGCTACCAAACGAAAATGGTTTTGCGAATTAATTGCTGTTGTGTCGGATGTAACGCTCGCACCTGCCTCGGTCATTTGTCAACATCGGCATGATAACAGGGTTTGTTTACGAGTTGAACGAATGCTGCTACCGACTGACCTTGACCTCTAGAAGAGGCTTGTCAACCCAGAGGACTTCTCTGGTAGCAAACTTCTGCCCTGTTTCCTTGACGATGCCGCAGGCGTACACGTTGACATGGGAGTCGGCGTCACAGCTGTTGATGTACTCGGTTGGGTTCAACTTGAGACACACAGCGCTCTCTAAGGGACAGAAAGTACATTGAACGTGTTGCTGCATTCTGTAAGCCACAAGTATTTCGAGCGTCTTCCAACACTATCACTACTTTATTTGAAAGCCATGATGACGTCAGGGATAATAGTTTAGGATAATGTAGTGCAGAAAAGTAGATACTAGTAGCCAATACGACAGAAATTGTATATATAAGGGACTACTGAAAATACAAAGAGTCCCGTATCCGGGTTACAATTGGTCTTCAGCAGACCACGCTAGTCGTAAGAGGCGATTATCGGGATCGGGTGGTCTGGCTCGCTGACTTGACTGACGCATGTCATCGGATCCCACTTGCATAATCAATACTCATGATGTCAATCACTCGCTTGTCTGGTCCAGACTCGATTATTTACAGACCACCTTCATATAGCTGGGATATAGTTCGGCGTAAAACCACAAACAAACGAAATAAAATACCGAGTCAATCATTTTGACAGAAACAACAGAGGGGCCTAGATAGGCTTTGTTTCACTGGTTTACTCAGTCTGAATAATGCCATTCATCCATCACTCTACATATCTGACTTCTCAAGCCTACCACCCAGCCGTGACCGCTCTCTAAGGAATAGCTGTACATCAAATTATCACGTCGCAGTCTAGACTTACCCCCTGATGGTTCAATAACTATGGTGGGCGACGTCTCCTTGAGCTCAACGGCTGACACGCCGGTGTAGTAGGCAGCGACGGCGGAGATGTAGACGTCAATGACCCTGCTTTCCCTGGAATCATTCTTCACTTTGAGAGTAGCAGTTATCTCCCCTGACTTTAGAGATTCACCGAGGAAAATGAATTCCATGTCTTCTTTGGTGGAAAGAGGTGTGATGGGCTTCCGGAAACACACCCGCTGAGCTCGGTCTAGAGCCTCTTTCTGATCTGCACTTCCTGTAGAAGAAGAATGGAAGTGAAAGTGTTTGACGCTTCAATGACTATATAATGGACCTTGAGCCACAAATCGTTTACCGGCGGCCTTAGCTTCAGCTGTTTCATGAACCAGCTCCACACAGTGCTTTGTGCGATATCCGACACTAAGTTGTGTCTTCATGTCCCTGTCCGGTCCAAGGACATCGTCCAACCAACAGTGTCCATATTCATTAAGAACACATTGCCGATGTTCAATGTCTATGTTGGCACTCACGACATGCACGCAACCTTCCTTCCCCGAGCATCGATACACCACTGGTGCAATGGGCGTAATTTAACGCTGATGCACCTTTTTGGAAATTTGTAATCTTGTTGAAAACACAACAACAAATGAGAATGAGAAGTTTGTCCTACGTTTACAAATAACATATTCTGAATGCTTGTATAACAGGTTACCAAATGGTTGCATGCATGTGTGACATGTTACCACCGTCTGTATTCCTGTTTGAATGTTACCCATCGGCTTCAAGTATAAATGACATGTTACCAACCGTCTGTATGCTTGGTTGAATGTTACCTATCGGCTTCAAGTATGTATGACATCTTACCAACCGTCTATGCTTGGTTGAATGTTAACTATCAGCTTCAAGTATGTATGACATGTTACCAACCGTCTGTATGCTTGGTTGAATGTTACCTATCGGCTTCAAGTATGTATGACATCTTACCAACCGTCTATGCTTGGTTGAATGTTACCTATCGGCTTCAAGTGTGTATGACATGTTACCCACCGTCTGTATGCTTGTTTGAATGTTACCCACCGTCTGTATGCTTGGTTGAATGTTACCAACCGTCTATGCTTGGTTGAATGTTATCTATCGGCTTCAAGTGTGTATGACATGTTACCCACCGTCTGTATGCTTGTTTGAATGTTACCCACCGCCTGTATGCTTGGTGGAATGTTACCCACCGTCTGTATGCTTGGTGGAATGTAACCTATCGGCTTCAAGTATGTATGACATGTTACCAACCGTCTGTATGCTTGGTTGAATGTTAACTATCAGCTTCAAGTATGTATGACATGTTACCAGCCGTCTGTATGCTTGGTTGAATGTAACCTATCGGCTTCAAGTATGTATGACATGTTACCCACCGTCTGTGGGTTGTATTTTTGGTTGGTTGGTTTGATGTTTAACGCCCCACTCAGCAATATTCCAGCTATATGACGGCGGTCTGTAAATAATCGAGTCTGGACCAGACAATCCAGTGATTGAGATCATGAGCATCGATCCACGCAATTGGGATCGATGACATGGTTGAAAGTTACCAACCGTCTGTATGCCTGGTTGAATGTTACCAACCGTCTGTATGCTTGGTTGAATGTAACCTATCGGCTTCAAGTATGTATGACATGTTACCAACCGTCTGTATGCTTGGTTGAATGTTAACTATCAGCTTCAAGTATGTATGACATGTTACCAGCCGTCTGTATGCTTGGTTGAATGTAACCTATCGGCTTCAAGTATGTATGACATGTTACCCACCGTCTGTGGGTTGTATTTTTGGTTGGTTGGTTTGATGTTTAACGCCCCACTCAGCAATATTCCAGCTATATGACGGCGGTCTGTAAATAATCGAATCTGGACCAGACAATCCAGTGGTTGAGATCATGAGCATCGATCCACGCAATTGGGATCGATGACATGGTTGAAAGTTACCAACCGTCTGTATGCCTGGTTGAATGTTACCAACCGTCTGTATGCTTGGTTGAATGTAACCTATCGGCTTCAAGTATGTATGACATGTTACCAACCGTCTGTATGCTTGGTTGAATGTTAACTATCAGCTTCAAGTATGTATGACATGTTACCAGCCGTCTGTATGCTTGGTTGAATGTTACCAACCGTCTGTATGCTTGGTTGAATGTTACCTATCAGCTTCAAGTATGTATGACATGTTACCAGCCGTCTGTATGCTTGGTTGAATGTTACCCAGCGTTTGTATGCTTGTTTGAATGTTACCCACCGTCTGTATGCTTGGTTGAATGTTACCAGCCGTCTGTATGCTTGTTTGAATGTTACCCACCGTCTGTATGCTTGGTTGAATGTTACCAGCCGTCTGTATGCTTGGTTGAATTTTACCAGCCGTCTGTATGCTTGTTTTAATGTTACTCACCGTCTGTATGCTTGGTTGAATGTTACCTATCGGCTTCAAGTATGTATGACATGTTACCCACCGTCTGTATGCTTGGTTGAAAGTTACCCATCGTCTGTATGCTTCGTTGAAAGTTACCCATCGGCCTCAAGTATGTATGACATGTGACCAACTGTCTGTATGCTTGGTTGAATGTTACCAACCGTCTGTATGCTTCGGTTAAAGTTACCCATCGGCTTCAAGTATGTATGACATGTTACCAACTGTCTGTGTGCTTGGTTGAATGTTACCAACCGTCTGTATGCTTGGTTGAATGTTACCTATCGGCTTCAAGTATGTATGACATGTTACCCACCGTCTGTATGCTTGGTTGAAAGTTACCCATCGTCTGTATGCTTCGTTGAAAGTTACCCATCGCCTTCAAGTATGTATGACATGTTACCAACTGTCTGTATGCTTGGTTGAAAGTTACCAACCGTCTGTATGCTTGGTTGAAAGTTACCCATCGGCCTCAAGTATGTATGACATGTTACTAACTGTCTGTATGCTTGGTTGAATGTTACCAACCGTCTGTATGCTTGATTGAATGTTACTTACCGTCTGTATGCTTGGTTGAATGTTAACATTCGGCTTCAAGTATGTATGACATGTTACCAACCGTCTGTATGCTTGGTTGAATGTTACCCATCGGCTTCAAGTACACACCGTCTGTATGGTTGTGTAATTGTTGACTACCAGCTGTAAGTTTGTAAAAAAACCTCATCAGCTCAGCTTACAAATGTGCCACATGCTTGCGGATAAGTGTAACCTATTGTGTTCTTGTATCGATGTTGTCCATCGTCTACATGTTTACAAATACTTGTTACCCACCGTCTGCATATTTGTAGGAATCGGTGAGATCTTCCCTTGAGATAGTTCCTGCGGCCTTAGTACTGAGGCACCTGCCAACGATGTTCGAGTCGGCTTTGAAGGCGCTCATGTTGCCGTCACTGTCAACGGTCCAGTGAAGCCGACCGCCGTTCACCTCGGCAAAGATGAACTTGGCGTCATACCCTAGATACACCTCTCCGTCTTTGATCGCCTTCACTGACGCGGGTCCACAGGTAAAAACACCTGGAGAATGATTTACACATATGAAAAAAATATCTTCGAATTAACTTGCCATAATTAATTACAAACATACTGTCTAAAGCATTGTAAATGTTAGAAAGTTAGAAGTTTTTATTTTTTTATTTATATTTTATTGTAGTTTCTTTCTGTTTCTATTATTCTACTTACAAACTTGGCCTCAGCACCAACGTGGACACTCAGACAATTCAAAACGTATTCTGATGTCTGATGTTTGTTTGTAGTTTAACTCAGCAGTATTCCAGCTATATGGTGTAAATAATTGAGTCCGGACCAGTGATCCAGTGATTGACATCATGAGCATCGATCTATGTAATTAGTATACGATGACATGCATCAACTAAGTCAGCGAGACTGACCACCCGATTCCGTTAGTCGCCCCTTACGACAAGCATTGGTTCCTGAGGACCAAATCTCTGATGTAGTGGTCAAGAAGGTGAACATCGAATACCTGCTACATCCATCCTCGTTTGTGGAGTGTATAATATTAATTGAATATTTATTTCAAGTTCCGAGGGTAATTCTTTGCTAAGTTGGGGATAACAGAAACGGATAAGACACACTGGATAATCGAGGATGGATTCGTATGATGGAGGCCTTACCTTCATTGCACTCCTGAGGTGTTGGGTCAAACGCTTGCCACCCATCGTGGCCCGAGGGGAGGTCGGGACGCTTGAACCAGGCCTCGTTCCAAACATGGAAGTCCCTGTCAGATTGATTCAACAAATGAGAAACTGGTGACTACGACCGCGGAATAATATGGAGGAAACGTGACAAATATTGCGAGAGAATGGGAAGGTCATTGCGAGGGAACGCGGTACTATAGTAAGGAAATGTTTTGGTACAGCAAGGGAACGCGGTACTATAGTAAAGAAATGTTATGGTACAGCGAGGGAACGTAAACAACATAGATTTCAGCGTGCAGGTGTCCGTCGATTGCAGGATTTGCAAAGCATCTGTACCATCAACAGGGTGTCGACAAATATTTTACAAATCTGCTCACGTTTTTAATCAAGGTGCTCAAGTGATTTGATGCACTTCGCTGGGTAAGCAAATGCAAGCGATATGAGCGATGGAATCTTACGGGTTAATAGGAGGGACATAGAAGGGACATAACTCGTAATATCCACTGATGGCGCTACGATCGAACCTGGAAATTCCAGCCCAGTTCGGCAAGGACTTTTACAATCAGTTAACGCCCTTGCCTCGGGAAGATGAGAAGTAGTAGGAGTTAATTGTGATCTCTTTCTGGTTATCAAACACCCACCAGATGGCGTCGTTCATGGTGTTCCGGGGTCTGCCTTCTGGTGTCCAGTGGAAGTTGACAGTGCTGCTGAAATCACTGTCATGCGCAGACCGGAAACACGATACACACCGAACAGGAATGCCAAGAGCTCTTAATACTGAAGACAGAGAAAATCCTATCATAACATTTTAACTGACATAGAACAGCTGTTCTCGCAATCGCAAGATGAAATATGTCACTTTTTCAATCTCTTATTCCTATGCGATACAACTCTAGTGTAAATCCTTCAAACACTTCATTGGAGCTCGCGTCGGTTGAATCCTGATCTACATGAAGTATGTGTGGGTTCTTGAGCCAATCAGATGTCAGGTTTCTAAAACGATTCGACTTCATTTCTTTACCACCTCGATTCGGAAATTTCGACCACAACAAAAGATGTATATGCCATGGCATTCAGAAAAGGCAGGGTGTATAAAATAAAACCGCGGCTGTTTAAAATCTATTCGGAACTGCCATTTTATGTTTGTTTGCGAGATACAGAAATCTGATTCTCTCGCATCGTGAATTTAAAAGCCCCGACGCTGACTGGCTGAATAGAAAGCTCTCTGACGCGACATTAGGTTTGTCAGATTTCCACGCAGAGGGGTATCGTATTGGAGTAAAATATCTGAGTGATTTTAATGAGATTTCCCCCTTTTCGTATATCTTAACTAAGGAATGAATTAACGCTCAACCTGAAGTGAGTGGAGAACTTGGGTTCAATGCAATGTATGAGAGCATCAGAGATTAATGTCTCCGGTCGGCGCACAGTGAGCCTGAATCCCGGGAGAGGCTAATGGTCAACTTTAATCAGACGCAGAAGGGTTCGCCGGTACACTAAATTAACTATATAGATCACAGGTGAAACGGATTCCCGTGAGGGTAATGTCCACTCTCAAAAGACAGTATGTCCACTTGGTATTTTAGAGTGCGAACTCTTGAAGTCTTGAAATCCAAGTATGTTGAAATTGAACACAATCAGAAATCTTCTCCCAGCTGCGTGACTTAACTCTGGACTGACTTTGCAGTAATAACGCTTCAATTTCAAAATGGTGTCAATATCAGTTTTTATATCTATACGACCATGCTCATATTTGAGCTTTAGATTCTTACTAAAGGTGTGGATAATATATGTACACCCTAATACACTCTTTAATTGTTATATTTCGGACGACGAATTAGATGTTCCAAAGCCTAAGGCCCAATGGTCCTGACTTACACGTTGTCTCCACTGCGGCGAATGTCCAGCACTGTCCATACTTAACGCCCTTCCTCTTCTTGAGGAACTCTTCCAAGATGGCGGCACTTCCGTTCCATGCGTATGGAGCCACGCCGTCGTCGTACTTCCCAGACCAGTTGCCGTTCAGGACGCCGCCGTCGCGCTCGTTGTTGTTGATCTGAACATGGTAATAATATCACATCCCATAAATATACACCACACCTTCTCAATTACACACTGGTATATCGACAGTTTCATGTGTGAATCCAGTTAACGTGAGTGTGAGTGAGTTGGTTTTACGCCGCTTTTAATAGTATTCCAGTTATATCGCGGCGTGTCAGCTTAATGTGGGAGGAAAGCCCTAAGTGATGCAGGTCTGAGACGTTTACCACTTCGATGAAACCCACGAGCATGGGTATGGTGCTGACAAACCTAGAAACATAATCGGGGCGAACCGGGATATCGAACCCACAATCATAGGTTTCTGTCATGCCCAAGGGACGCAACTCTGCACAGCGAATCGCGGCACCTTAGACAACTGGTGCATCCGAATCCAGTTAACGTCTTAACATATGAACATGACTATGAGTAGTGACGCCTACCACTTTACGCGTGGCCTGAAAATGAATAATGACACCTACCACTTTACACATGGCCCTGACTATGAGTATTGGGTTGTTTCTGGCCTGGTCGCCCAGCTCCGATTTCTCCATCAAGGCTAGGGCGGCGATGAGGCATACGTCGTCAAACTGCAAAATGAAACATTAGTTTACAAGTACTCATGTATCCAGAGTGAGTGAGTATGGTTTTTCGCCACTTTTAGCAATATTCCAGCACGACGAGGACACCAGAAATGGGATACACACATTGTTTCTATATGGGGAATCAAACCCGGGCTTTCGGCGTGACCATCGGACGCTTTAACCACTTGGCTACCGCCACCGTCACTTATGTATCTAGATATGTAAACACAGATAACGCTACGGGACACAGTGACTGAGAACGTGGCATATGGTACCACGGACGTCAGTCTGCAACGTCAGTCCGTGTAATTGATGCACGGTGTTCGGACACAGGTATTTAAAACACTGATGCAATATTCTAAATCAATGATATCTATTGTACATTTCGGTGACACTTTAAAAGACATGACCGGTGTATTCGTCTGGACCCGTTCCACAAAGCGATCTTAGCCTTAAGATGATATTGCTCTGACAGTAGAGCTAAAATCGGTTTGTAGAACGAGACCCAGGAGGATAAACTGGTCCGTACCTTTTAAAGTGTCACAAATTTGTCATTTGCGCATGCATGGCATATATTCATTGACGTCTGCACTAAATGTGTCTTTCCCCGCGGGAGTAAACAAATATCTATCCGATGGTAGAAATGTGGACGCACCTGGCCGAAGTTCCATGGTCTGACGCAGTACTTGCCGACTGACCCCAACCAGATCCGACCAGTTTCCCGGAGCACGTGCTCCTGGCGCTGAGTCTCATCCGGCAGAAACACGCTGTCCGCTACACACACAAACATTTCAGTTAGTTCCATCGACCCTAAAGCTCAACGTATAACGATTTTCGATTACGTACTTAAAAACGTCAAAAACCACGATTCGTGTAGTACTTAGTCCACCCATGACACTGATGCCATCCGACAGCTCGGGAGCTGACAGAAAGACCTAACCGCTTAAACACACAGCTACTGGGTGTGAGGAAACATTTAACAAATCCAAGTTCACATCTTAACTTTGTTTAAAGATAGTTAACTTTATCGTTCAAGCGACAAGATATTTCTGAAGTAATGAACTCCTGTAAAAAGTTTCCGTGGAGACTATGCAATTAGAAGTTGACCATATATAATGTTTAGCACTTAATTCGCATCCCCGAAGCGTTCCTTTCCTGAACCCTCCCCTTGCCTCCTGCAGCACAGCTGACCGTGGCCAGATTGTCATTTTGCCTTCACATATATCGTAACGTTAATGATCAAACACAATCACTCACCATCACACCACGTTGTCTACAGTCACACACAATCACTCACCATCACACCATGTTGTCTACAGTCACACACAATCACTCACCATCACACCACGTTGTCTACAGTCACACACAATCACTCACCATCACACCACGTTGTCTACAGTCATACACAATCACTCACCATCACACCACGTTGTCTACAGTCACACACAATGACTCATCATCACACCATGTTGTCTACAGTCACACACAATCACTCACCATCACACCACGTTGTCTACAGTCACACACAATCACTCATCATCACACCACGTTGTCTACAGTCACACACAATCACTCACCATCACACCACGTTGTCTACAGTCACACACAATCACTCACCATCACACCACGTTGTCTACAGTCATACACAATCACTCACCATCACACCACGTTGTCTACAGTCACACACAATGACTCATCATCACACCACGTTGTCTACAGTCACACACAATCACTCATCATCACACCATGTTGTCTACAGTCACACACAATGACTCATCATCACACCACGTTGTCTACAGTCACACACAATCACTCATCATCACACCACGTTGTCTACAGTCATACACAATCACTCACCATCACACCACGTTGTCTACAGTCACACACAATGACTCATCATCACACCACGTTGTCTACAGTCACACACAATCACTCATCATCACACCATGTTGTCTACAGTCACACACAATGACTCATCATCACACCACGTTGTCTACAGTCACACACAATCACTCATCATCACACCATGTTGTCTACAGTCACACACAATCACTCACCATCACACCACGTTGTCTACAGTCACACACAATCACTCACCATCACACCACGTTGTCTACAGTCACACACAATCACTCACCATCACACCACGTTGTCTACATTCACACACAATCACTCACCATCACACCATGTTGTCTACAGTCACACACAATCACTCACCATCACACCACGTTGTTGAAGTCCCACCCAATCACTCATCATCACACCACGTTGTCTACAGTCACACACAATCACTAATCATTACACCACGTTGTCTACAGTCACACACAATCACTCACCATCACACCACGTTGTCTACAGTCATAAACAATCACTCACCATCACACCACGTTGTTGAAGTCACACACAATCACTCATCATCACACCACTTTGTTGAAGTCACACACAATCACTCACCATCACACCACGTTGTCTACAGTCACACACAATTATTCATCATCACACCACGCTGTCTACAGTCACACACAATCACTCACCATCACACCACGTTGTCTACAGTCACACACAATTACTCATCATCACACCACGTTGTCTACAGTCACACACAATCACTCACCATCACACCACGTTGTCTACAGTCACACACAATTACTCATCATCACACCACGTTGTCTACAGTCACACACAATCACTCACCATCACACCACGTTGTCTACAGTCACACACAATCACTCACCATCACACCACGTTGTCTACAGTCACACACAATCACTCACCATCACACCACGTTGTCTACAGTCACACACAATCACTCACCATCACACCACGTTGTCTACAGTCACACACAATCACTCACCATCACACCACGTCGTCTACAGTCACACACAATCACTCACCATCACACCACGTTGTCTACAGTCACACACAATCACTCACCATCACACCACGTTGTCTACAGTCACACACAATCACTCACCATCACACCACGTTGTCTACAGTCACACACAATCACTCACCATCACACCACGTTGTCTACAGTCACACACAATTACTCATCATCACACCACGTTGTCTACAGTCACACACAATCACTCACCATCACACCACGTTGTCTACAGTCACACACAATTACTCATCATCACACCACGTTGTCTACAGTCACACACAATCACTCACCATCACACCACGTTGTCTACAGTCACACACAATCACTCACCATCACACCACGTTGTCTACATTCACACACAATCACTCACCATCACACCACGTTGTCTACAGTCACACACAATCACTCACCATCACACCACGTTGTCTACAGTCACACACAATCACTCACCATCACACCACGTTGTCTACAGTCACACACAATCACTCACCATCACACCACGTTGTCTACAGTCACACACAATCACTCACCATCACACCACGGATTAAACAGGATGTAAATGTCGTCTGGGTGCTTGTATCGGAACTTCTCCACGTTTCCTTGACTCGATGTGTGCACGGTGTCCACAAACAGCTGATACCGCCCCACAATGGTGTCAGCATCAGACGACACGTTCAGCACCAACGCCTTTTCCTCCACTGACAGAATCTGGAAACCCCACTCGTTGTCCTTGACCTTGTCCACTTTCTGGACGCCTACCACGCTACCTTTACTCTGCTGAGGGCGACTACCTAAGACAGGATGGAACAGAAAGGAACCATTTTTGCTGAAGAAGCCATATATTGATCTATGTTTTCTTGCGTGACAAAGAACAGTTCTATAACATCACATCGTTTTCAATCATGAAATCACGTGGCATCATGTAGGCATTGAATGATAGTGATAGAAACTTGTAATTATGCCAACTCGAAATATATCAGTACACATTTACCTTTAATAAAATTGAGAGAAAAAACAAAGTCGACATGAAAAGTCAAACATTTATCTACATTTATCTTTTCTTACACATGAATGTTGTTTTCTGATTGGCTGAGATCTGTTCTTCTTTTTTCAATGTACCCAGCTATTATGTAAGGTACATTTCTTATGTTTTCCGCTTGAATTGCCGAACTTTTGGTTTACATTTGCAACATACCAACTGCAATTTTGTATCTTGAATTAATGATGTGTAAGACGCTTTTCTCGGGATATTTACGATACTTTCTGAGTGAAATAGATCTGTTTTCTGTGAAAAAAGAACGAAGTGGATAAATGCCTAACTGTGGTATTCTTACCGATTCAGACCAAAGCATGCATGCATATACATATTTGCAATATAATTAGATGTGCGGTAAGATAAATGCGCTGTCCGTCGGCTGACATGGGTTGGTGAACCACGGAAGTCAAATGAGCCCTACTCCGTCTGTATGAACTGTATTACCTAATACTGAAGCAAAGATTATTACTTTATTCAGATATTTAACAAATTCATTGGGTCGGTTGTCGGAAGACAATATTTTTATTCACCTGTGAAATTTAGGGTCCGCGGAATACGACACACGCCTAAATGAAAACGTGAGTCAGTGAGTATGGTTTCACGCTGCTTTTAGCAATCTCACAGCGGGGGACACGGGAAATGTCCTTCACACATTGTACCCATGTGAGGAATAGAACCCAGGTGTTCGGCGTGACAGAAAACGGTTTAACCACAAGGCTACCCCACCTCCCTCCGAACTGGAGTAAGATATCGACCCACCTGTGACCTACCCCACCGACACCCGGACTGGAGTAAGATATCGACCTACCTGTGACCTACCCCACCGCCCTCCTAACTGGAATAAGACCTACCTGTGACAAACTTGAGCACAATCTGATCCTCGGGGGCGATGTAGTTCCTCTCGAAAAATATTTTGACTTTAAATTCTTGCCCGCGCCTGATGATAAGATTCGGGATCTCATAATCGCTGGTTCTGTGCGCTTCTCGGTTGGCGCTCTTCTCCAAGTCAATGGTCTTCGGCTTCAGTTGACCCTCTGGATGAAAGGGAGAAAGTTAGGAAACAGTTTGTATCGCATCACCAGTGGTTCAACATATATATTCGGTGATAGACGTGAAGACTATGCAACACACCTTCTTCCCATTCAGTGACTACGAAACACCCGATGTTTTAATGTAGGCTATAGGAAGTCGGGCCATTCAACCGCACACCGCAGGTAGATACCATGCCGCAGTTTAACATGAATAGCCCACTCAGAAACAGTTTGCTGACTCCGAGCCGACCAGTCCTTGTTTTAGCCCCTTAATGCCGAGCGTCAGGCAGGGTAACAACAAGTACCATATTTTAACGTCTTTTGGTTTGACGCGGCTTGGAATCGAGCCCCCGGCCTTCCGCTATCCGGACGGATGCCCTACCAGAAGACCCACAGTCTTAAGACTTGGTGCCGACAGCACAGCAGTGAACGCGTTTATGTCCACACGACTCGTGTCAAAGACGAGCGAACACTCACACCTGGGCTGCTGGAATGAGTAAGTGAGGGATTTGGGTTTAACGCTGCATTTTTCACATTATTCCAGTTATATCACGGCGTGTCAGCTTAATGTGGGTGGAAAGAGAACCGGGTTTCAAACCCACAATCATAGAGCTCTGGCGTGCCAAAGGGACGCAACTCTGCACGGCATAACATAGACGTACGACAGTCGTAGCACTAAGACGATCGTAACTCCCATACTTTAACATAGACTTACGACAGCCGTAGCACTGAGACGATCGTAACTCCCAATACTTTAACATAGACTTACGACAGCCGTAGCACTGAGACGATCGTAACTCCCCATACTTTAACATAGACTTGCGATTGTCGCTTTGTGGAACGGGACCCAGATCTCTGATAATGAAGATTCTTTGCAGTCATCACAAGACTTGAACTCATTCAGGGTTGGTTACAGCAATACTTTCGCTAATGTTGACATCAATGTACTGTTTTCGTCGTTCATGGAACACATTTGAATTTCCTCGGATTTGCAGTGACAAACTGATTATGCAAAGCCAAATAAATACATCCACGTTATCGTTTACTTTAAAAAATGTCCGATTTCAGGGCCAGCTGGTCCTTTTAAGTTCATATGAGATAGATAATCTCAAAACTGAGTCCAGGGGACTATTCAATATAGAAATTCGCTGTTCAACGAATGTTTCGTATCAGTGGTTATTAAGGTATCCTTGGTTATACAATGATAGATGTTGGACAACCGTCCTTAGAAATGTCCGCTTTTTCTAAAAACAATACCAACCTTCTTTTTCCCTTTTGAAGCCCGTCAACTGCGCATCCTCTGCAAACGGGTTCTCCTGGTCTGTCGCTCTGCGCCCGGCTAAGTTATTTCCAAGTAATGACGTTCGGAGATTTCCGTAAAAAGAGGCGAACTTCTCCGACAAGGACGTCCTGGAAGAAGAGAACATCCTGTCAGTGTCAGACACAAGGAGACGACCACAACGTTAGTGTCCTTCAGATATTAGGACACGCTTCAGCGAGGGAACAAATTCAGATGCCCAAACAGTCAAAAGCATGACAACAGCAATTACGCTGTTGAAGAAATATCCGAATCAGGCACAGGTATGTCCTCAAGGGGAGGATAGCGCTAAATTATTGTTCACGTCAAACTGTGGTATGTCAAACAGCTAGCGGTAATGATGTTCTATAACCTAAGTTCCGATGCCGAAACTAAGAATCACCACAATATTTTCCAATTTCCCTGTCATCAAAAGGAACACTGTTAGCTGTTTTTCCTAGGCCATGAACGCCTGTTTCCGGAACAGGACAGATTTAAGATGCAATACGTGTCCGAATATCAGTTAGAAGGTCAGGGCAAAATCCACGACCTTAGATTCACAAGACTGCCAATTGTCTTAACAAACTGTTTCCGAAACGGTGGGTTCAAATGAAAACTGTTTTGGAATGTTTTCGTCTGATGGAGACGATCTGGTCATATCTCGTGGAGAACTCCGCCGGGATTTACGAAAATATCCAACAATTACTCTCATAGGAGTTTGCCATTTGTTTCCGTGGGCTTCACAATTGCCTTTATCAATGCCGTTTAGCGTTCGTCGATACGCCGTGCTCATATTCTGAGATATAAAGAAACCCTCTCTTGGTATTTGCCGGGTGTAGAACATCGCCTGAAGCTGCGGCAGTCGTGGTTGAAAGCCAAAGATTACAAACAAGCTTAGGCAGTTATAACAAATGAAGAAAGAAGCGCCAGCTGAGATGTAAATACTATACATACGGTGATGATGGAGATGAGGCGATACCGGTACTAGTTTTAGCGACTGCTCATAGAAGAAGCAAAGGCGGTTCCTGTGCATTTTACTTGAAATGTAGAGTTCTAATTTTGTCCTTTAAAGTTACAAGGAGTTTGTTGAAAATGGGAGCCCACGTTCCAAGAGCAAAATGCGTGTAACTCGAGTAACATAGAAATGTATGTTGAAAAATGGAGTTCACGTTTCCAGGATAACGGCAATAGGCTGAATATGCAAATATAATTTGATTAAGAGTAATGTTAAAACAGTTAAGATTTTTGTTTGGAAATGACACATTCCTCAGTTGATGTTTGAAACTGTTAGAAGCATTGACAACCATTGGCAATTTGCTTAAATGTTCCACTGCCATAACATTTGAAGCATACTTTCGTGAATTCAAATCAATGTGGGTACATAAACAATTCTGACTTTAAACCTCGCAATCCTTCAATTTAATAAGGATGGCCAACCAGTCCCTTAGCCCCTTAATGAAGCCAGACAGGGTAATAACAAGTACCATCTCTTAAAATCGTTTGGTATGACGCGGCAGGGGATCAAACCCCGGACCTTCCGCTCTCCGGGTGGACGCTCTACCACTGGACCACGGAGACGGTCGGGTTGTCTGTGAAATTGGATTCACTTCTGTGAAAGAGGTTTTGAAGGCGTCGAGAATTGTCCTACATACCTCGCGACATACAATTCACAGTCACACACACACACACACACACACACACACACACACACACACACACACACACACACGCACACACACACACACACACACACACACACGCACACACACACACACACACACACTCGAGTCAGTCACTTCTCATCAGTATAAGAACCATCTGCGAGCAAGCATTGCCAAAGTGTATAATTTGTAAAGCAGAGTCAACACGATCACTAACAGCTGTATTGTATTATATAAAACGCTCAGTACCAATCTCATTAAAATCAGATCTTAGTTCTCGCTACCGCTAAACAAAGATTTTAGGACATCCCATTAAGGGTCACGTCAGGACGACCTTTCATCCAACCAATCAGAGCGTCGCTTACCAGATCATGAAAGTGACAATCGGAATGTGTTTTTTAATCATGCAACCACGAAATATTTAACACGGGTATTCCGAATGACAGTTACGGGTTTTATGATTATATCCATACAATCTAGGCCATCTATAAGCCATTCTAGAATGTTCTTATCAGTTCTAATTTTTTTAATCGAGAATACGTCAAAATGTGTTTCGAAGCGTAGTCACAAGTTTGAAACTCGTGTCGTAAAGCTCGAGAAAGCTGCCTTCTGATTGGCTAATGTCGATTTCTTGTCAGTCATTTCATTGGTCGGTCAAAATTCGCGAAAGGTCGTTCTGACGTGACCCGTAATGGGATGTCCTCAGATCTTTGTTTAGCGGTAGCGAAAACTAAGATCTGAATATAATGAGATTGGCACAGTACATAATGAAAATGTTGCTGACTTGTTATGTAAATGCATAAATAATTTCAATGTAATATATATGTGCATGGCATGCATCTACACTGACGCGTATAGGTTAAAAGCTCTGAAGGAAAACTACGAATATCTCAACTACGAGCATCTCAAGTCATTAATTCCGATAGCCAGATAATTAACACATACACTGTAATCACATTGTACAGGTAGTGGCAAGTGATACTATAATAAACATTTGTATATATAAACAGTCTACTGCTTAAGCGTATACAGTTAGCTCCCTTGCTCCATCATGGCTATGGCGAACCTAGGCCGTATACTCACTGTGGAACTGGAACACCGCTAAAAAGAAATATATAATTAAAACATGAACGTAAATGAACACGACGTAACCTGGATACTTCCGGTGGAACTACAAACCTGTCTTCGCTCAAGCTTTAGAATGTTGATGAGGAGAAACTCCCACCTGGGATGTGTCGTGAAGTCGAATTATAAATAGATCTTAAAAAATCGGGCCCACTCGCCTTTTTCCCTTACCTCTATAGACTACCTAAAGAGACTAGTCACGAAATGGATTCCCCCGAATGCAAGGCAAGATGACCTTTGGAATTGAGAGGAGCCGAGTGAGATATAAATATACAAACATTGATTCAGCAGAGTATAATGACGATAGGTTTCTGATTTAATTACGTATATTGCGCTCAAGCTTTGTGATAGTGTATCCACATATATCTTGACTCAAAGATTGTTGACGTTTGTGATCTGTCCGTTTGACGTTTCTCAGGACCAAATAAACACAGAAAGAGATTCCTAGCAGTGACGCGGCCTTCAAATGACCCGTTTTAATCAGAGACGTGTTGTTGTGATTCGAAACCTTTGTGGGTCAGTCAACTGGATAACTTTTCTATTCTCCATCTCGTGCCATGCTGATGTCATGCGTGGTTACATTCATTCAGTGATGTATGATATTGATGTTTGAGGCAGAGACGCCATGGGGACTATTGATGAACAATGAGAAGTGCTTAAGACTTCACTTATAATGAATATTCCTGCTCTTTTGTATTTAGAACTAAACTGTAATAAATACAACTCTAGAGAGTAGAGTAAGTGAGTGAGTTGGGTTTAACGCCGCGTTTAACACTATTCCAGTTATATCACGGCGTGTCAGCTTAATGTGGGAGGAAAGCCCGAAGTGATGCAGGTCTTAGACGTTTACAACTTCGGTGAAACCCACGAGCACGGGTATGTTGCTGACAAATTAGAAACATAATTTGGGCGAACCGGGATTCGAACCCACAATCATAGGTTTCTGGCGTGCCCAAGGGACGCAACTCTGCACAGCGAATCGCGGCGCCTTAGACGACTGGGCTACCCGTGCCCCCTCTAGAGAGTAGAGTCACGAGGTGTCAACACACTGTTGGAGACAAAGGTCACCGTGACATTATTTGTAGAAGTTATCACTTTGTTTAAACTAACGTGGTGTATAATATATGACATACCAAAGGTCATAGGCGGGGACCAATACTTGAATCAACGACAAGCCCGAGGGAAAGGTATATGGAATAGCACCTGAAAATTATTTTCATGTTTTTAATCAAAGTGTTCACGGGATTTGATCCACTTCGCGAGGTAAGACCCATTTTGTTACAATATAGATTTTGATTATCGATCACACTGAACGCCGCCATTTTGTTTGATGTAAATGCAAGTGATGTGAGAGGTGGAATATGATTGGTCATTAGGAGGGACATAGAAGGGAAATAACTCGTAATAGCCACTGGTGGTGCTACGATCGAGCCCAGCCATCCAGCCTAGTTCGGCAAGATGTATGCTGATTGACTAGTTCATGTCAGTTATTCCGTTGTTTTCATTTTTTGCAAAGGCATCAATAAGCTCAATAACGATGTGACGTCTTACCAACGCATTTTTGCAAATACTTTAAGTTGAGGTCACCAATTGTTCACGATACCACAGACATCGTGTGACATATCGTGACAGCGTAAATGGATATCTCCTAAAATAATGAGATCGGGAATCTTAGAAAAGAATTTTTAATAAGACTATGGGTAATATATACATCCCAACTTCAATGGTAAATTATACACATATACTATGCGATTAGACTGGATTAGTTAAACCGAATATTCGCTATATCCTATATCGACATCGACAAGAAGTATGCATTCGCATGCAGCTGGGAACACTCACAGTTCCTTCGAATAAACACAGAAAACTTCAGATTGATATATTGATATATGCCAGGAGATCCCCAGCATGTGGTGGATCATATTGCATCCTTTATTCTCAAGGGGAAACATGGAACATCTGCGTCTGAAAAGGTCATCAGGTCTTGAACACTAAAGCACTTGTATGAAAGAGCATGTTTACACCGCCATCTAGCACTAGATATAGTTTTAGGTTAATTTGAAAATGTTTTTGATTTAAAAATTATTTTTTAGGGGAGCCTATTCAGCAACACAATTATATTCAATTTAAAAAGATACCCCTGTTTTGTGAAATGTTTTCCCACTAGAGCTGCTATTGTGTCGCGAAACACGTGATAGTGTTGCAATACTGCTTATATATGTGATTGTGCCGCATTAGTGCCGTGATAGTGTCTCATTAGTGCCGTAATGGCGACGAGTTTGTGTCGTGATAGCGTGGAATCGGTGTCGTGAGAGCGCTTGATTAGTGAGCGATAGCGCCGCGTGTTTGTCTTTGTGGCCCCGCTTCAGTACCTTGATGGCGCTGCAATAGCGATGTTGATTACGTCGCATTAATATCGCGATTGAGCCGCATTAGTTTCTTACGTCGTCATGTTGTCCCTCGATGATACCGCGAAAGCGGAGTAATTATGAAAAATCCCTTGGGGAAGTTTCCCACAAAATCTAATGGAGGCCAAACAAATGGAGATGTGTACAAGTCAGACTCCCGGCACTCTGACACCTTGCAGTGCATTCATTGCATAACTGTTTATCTCCGGATGCAGATATACGCGAACACGACACTGATCGAGAATGTAATTCATACCACTGAGAATGCTCTATTCACTCACAGGGAAATGGTGTTATCTTCGTTCACCCAAACAATCCAAGGCTTGTTATCGTCCCTCCTCCCCACGACCAGACCGCTCAGTGTGTGAACAAAGGATTGTAGTCATTGCCTTCCGTAACATTCCACACACACACCAAGCTCACAGTGGAACATGGCGAGACTGGCGTATCTCACACACCTGAACACCGACTACACATAATTAGATTGCGGGAGATGTAACGAAGGACTGATTGCCATATGCGGAAGGAATGAGCAAAATAAATAACAGGCACTGCTCGGATATATTTTGTAATTAATGTATACAGAATTTCAGAGGACAATGATAACTTATATTTACGTACTACAAGTTCTTTAACTCGATATATCGGTTAAGACGGTGTTTCTTTGCCTTTTGAATATTTATCGAAGGCAAGGTCTAATATCGACAGTCCTCCTGTCTCCAACTAAAGTTAATTACAAAGTTCTCGCACACACACACACACACGCACGCACGCACGCACGCACGCACGCACGCACGCACGCACACACACACGTCTAATGCGCCGTATTCGGTCTACAGAGTTGCGTCCCTTGGGAACGCCAGAAAGCTATAATTGTGGGTTCGAATCCCGGCCCCGTATCTGTGCTCATTGCTTTCAATAAAGTGATAAACGTCCAAGACTTGCATCACTACGGGCTTTTCTCCCACAAAATTAAAGCTGACACGTCGTGATATAACTGGAATACTGTTAAAAGCGACGTTGAACCCAACTCACTCCCTCATTCCTGGTTAGAATAGGTCCCCAGTATCCTATGCTAGTCGTGGGGAGGGTGGGTCCAGTCGATGACCTTGTCCGTCATCATACACCGGCAGCGCTTGATGTTGATCAGAACCATTTATTTACATTCTGCCGTCATATAGATAGAATACTGAGTGCGGTGGTACATATTCGCACGCACCCCTTTGGTCATAATGGCTGATAGGACACAATCGGATATCGACGGCGAGGATCGTTGCTCACACTATCACCCTAGTTTGTCTCGCCCAGACCGAGCATCATCATCAACATCATCATCATCATCATCATCATTATTATTATTAGAAACCACACTTACCACGGTACTAGTATCTGCCCAAATGCATTCCAGTTATCATCCTTAACTCCCTGGGGAGTGTACAACCCATGCTGCCTACGAGCGCTAAAGGGTTTTTACATCCACCTCACCTATCGGGTACCCATTCCCTGCTGGGTGAACAGAGACACATTTGAACATTTGAAGTCACTTGCCTAGGGTGACACCACACGTTTTGACACTTGTGTTTCGGATGTATGAACGTATTCATGTCATGATAAGGTAACAGCTGAATCGGCGAGTAACAGCTGGGAAGAAAGCATTAAATGCATTAAAAATAATCCCGAATCCCAGATGTAATATACGCGGGTGTATATGGACATTCACTCCCTGTCTTGTTTACAACGTACAATAACACGGCAAAGATCACAAATTCTTATCACTCTCCTCCACGTAAACAGTGCAAATACCCAAGAGGAGGTCCTGTAAACAACACAAGACAACATGGCCTGACTGAGGCTTCCAAAATATCAGCGACCTTGTACCTCTAGACCTTATGGAACATTGCATGGCGCTTTAATGTTGAGTATCTTGGAGTGAGTTTCAACGCCGCTTTTAACATTATTCCAGTTATATCACGGCGTGGCAGCTTAATGTGGGAGGAAAGCCCGAACTGATGCAGGTCTCAGACGTTTACCACTTCAGTGAAACCCACGAGCACGGGTATGGTGCAGCTGCTGACAAACCTAGAAACATAATCGGGGCGAACCGGGATTCGAACCCACAATCATAGTTTTCTGGCGTGCCCAAGGGACGCAACTCTGCACAGCGAAACGCGGCGCCTTAGACGACTGTGCCACCCGTGCCCCCGAGTAACTTGGAAACATGCATTGTTTGTAGAAATACAGGCAAACCTAGACGGTAAACAACAAGTCATCCGTTATGCATGTTTATTAAATAATAGAGCTGTAAAGATATTAATAGAATTATTATCAATACAATTAGGGACCCATCATTTAATAGAGGAGAGGAGGATGCTATTTTTGTAAGAGACACGATGTTTTGGGGGGGCAGTTCTTAAAAATATGCAATCTCTTCTGTGATAGGGGAAATAAAGCATTTTAAATATTTTTACAACAGACATATTTTTCGAACAAGCAACATATTATTTTAAATGTTTGAGAAGAATATTTATTTTCAATATCCCAGCCCAGAATATCAACTGGTCGGTCACT